CTCTCACTGAACTCTCGGTGTCCAGTGTTTGCTTCGATCACACCATTGCCGAGCCTCCCCAGGCCCTGCTTAGGTGGCTCTCAGAGGCTGCTAGACGCTACCCAATGGTGGGATTGCAGGAAAAAATAAGGAAGTGCAGGAATTGTGTATCTCCGGTCCGAGATCTTGGGACTGCCAGAGACAGAGTGGCAAGTCCATTAACAGGGTCTGGGGCAGAATGAAGGCCCAGGCAGGAAGTGGGCACGTTTGCTGCTTTCTTTTCCCAGATTCGGTCACAGGGTTTCCTGATTGGGGTCTCTCCCGGGTGTAGGCCTCCCTGCCGTCACCCCATGGGGGGCAGTCACTGCAGTGGAAAGACTTCTGACCAGTCAAGGGACCTCAGTTCTCATCCCAGCTCCCTGTTGGCCTACATTCTCCAGCCATCCTGGGCCTCAGTTTACCTGTCACCTTCTCTTGGACCCCATGGCATTTTAAACGGACACGAATTCATTTGTCACATCCTCATCCTTCTCCCCAGCTAGCCTGGGAGTTCCAGGCCAGGGCCAGACGAGTCTGATGCCCCTCCGTGACCCACCCCCAGGATATGGGGCTGGCTAGACCCCTGAGGTCAGCATCCAGAATACGTATGTGGGTGAGCGACTAGTTGCACCCCTACATCCTTCAGCCTCTAGGATTTGTTCCTTTCTGCTCCTCGTGCTCCAGGTGTGACACGGAGGCGTCACTTGCGGGCTGTTAGAGTAGTGGGCCAGCTGGAGCTCTAGAATCGGATTTGGAGGCTGGTTCCACCGCTTAATAGCTTTGCAAGTGGCTTCACCCTTTTGAGGTGTAAAATGGAGCGACTGATAGCCTTTCCAGCCAGGAGTCCAGGGTTACATGAGCTAAATGCAGGTGACGTGTGGCTTCATTATTATCCCATTATCACATTTCTCTGACGAGGGAAGTGCAGTCAGTGGCTGAGTCCGGATTTGAACCCAGACCTTGTTTCTTTACCTACAATGGACAGGAACGTGATTATCATGAAGAGACCCCTGCGCTGGGGTTAGGAGATGTGGCTCAGCCACCAACGAATTCTCTATGGTCTCGGACAGGGCATCTGTCCTGGGCATCTCTTTTCTCCCCTGTAAATGAAGGATACTGGAAGAAGTGATGATCTATCAGGGCCACCCAACAAACAAGTGTCTGTGGGCAGGTATAGCTCTCCCCAAGCTTCCAGTGGGACCCCCAACTCCAGTCTAGCCCAGGACTCTGCAGATGTCTCTGCAGCCTGCTGGGAGGGGGGATTAGGCAGTTCCTGAGACGGAAAGCCTCCAAGGTCTAAGAAGAGCTGGACTCGGCCTCTTTTTGGCCAAACAGGCTTCCAGACACACCTAATTGGGTTCTTATAAAGCTTTCAGCAAGTAGAAGCCAGGCAGGCCCCATGGGGGAGCCGTCCTGTGTGGGAAAACTCATCGGTACCATCAGTGTTATGATTCCCTCCTTCTCCCACCTTCTGCCTCGATCCTCTCCCCCTGCCTGCCACATCTGTTCAGTTTGGGGAAGAGAAAAGCCCAATATCCCAACGAAGGTCAAAATCCTCAAACAAGATGCTTTTTGGTCTGCCTCCTATGTAGCCTTTTGACCAAGCGGGTAACGAGTTGAAAAGACCCTAAAGTCTGTTTTCTCTGCACCTACCTGTTGGTCTCTTGTTGAGAAGGCAGGGTAGGAGAGAAACTCCTCTTACTGGTGCGCTAAACCACAGGGCAGCAAATTCTGTCCCTCCTTGTGGAGATGGAAACAGGTCTGTCGTCATCGTCGTCTTAACAGAAGCAAACATTTTCAATGCAGTGCCCTATTTTCCGAGGCTCCTGAGAATGCGCCAAGTGTGCAGGTCCCCTCCTTGTGCTGTTGCACACCCTCTCGGGGACCGGGTCCAGACACAGATCGAGTGGCAGACAGCTCCAGGCTGAGTGGACGTAGCAGAGACACGGAGGTTGGAGCTTTGGCTGGATGTGGGTGACCATCAGGAATTGATAGGCTTCTGACTTCATGGAAGAAAAGCTTTCTGGCTCATAGGGCTCCCAGTAGTGCTGGGGGCCATGCTGGGAAGTACACGAGCGGAGCCTGGTCAACACCTACCCTGGGGTGGGAGAGGAGCTCCGTGCCCTGGGTACACGAGTGTTGAGATTCATCTGTGCCTGTCTTGAGATCGTGGTGGGGTTTTCCCTCTGGGTAATTGGCTAGCCTGGGCCAGGGTTCTCTTGTCCTCGGTGTTCCAAACCCCAGCTCCAAGTCATGGGGAGGAGACTTCTGAGAAGGCTGCTCCCTCCCCAGACTTAACAGCCCACTGCCCGCCTCTCCCTACTGGCCAGAGAAGTTGCTGGGCTGCCCTGGGGCCTCACTCACCAGCCACCTGCTCCTGGCCCTTAATACTCCTTGGCCTTTGTGTTGAGGTGGCTGCTTCGAGGCGAACTTGTACTACAGCCACTCGTTCGGGGACCAGTTACTAGAGTTCAGCAGGGAGCTTCTGAGGGAGGTAGAGAGGTGAGGCACACGTACCAGCCTGCCCTCTGAATATCGGGGGGCCTAAGCAGCCATAATCCAGGGCCAAGAGACAGCTTGGAATGGCCCTCCGGACCTGGTCTCGAGCACTGGCCCTTAGTAGGGATTGCCACTGATTGGGACCCCCTGTGGGGGCCAAACACTCTGGGGTGCTTTCCATACATTTCCTACCGTCAGCTGTCGAGTCAGCCGCTACTTGCCTCCCCTGGCTCGTGGGGCCGCAGGTGTGGGGGACCTGCCTGGAGACATGCCGCTCTCGCTGAGGAAGCACCGTATCTTACCAGGGAGGGCCACGAGGGTTGGAGGGAGGAGGCGCTCCCTTCTTGCCAAGAGTTGAGAATCAACAGAAGGCCTTTTGCCCCCTCTTGGCAACTGGACCTCACCCTCGAACCCTCTTCTTCCGTTCTTTTTATTTCTCTTTTTTTGGGGGTTGGCTTTGAATTATCTTATTTTGTTTACATTGCACCCAAGTTTCATGGTACAAAAGACTTGCAGGTGCAAATATGTCCCGCCTTCATTAGCTTCCCCTCCCTTTTTAATTTATGTGATTTCAATTTTCCTTCCCTGTACTGTTAATTAGGGGACCCTCTAATCAGCGCCATTATCACAGTGGTATTCATGTTTAGGAAAGCCGCTAAACAAATGCTTGCAAAATTGCTAAATGGCTAATTAATGTCTGTTAATTAAGAAAATTGCTCATGGTAACAAACCATGCCGTTGCTGGCAGCCGCTAGAAAGACATACACTTGTTGAAATTAGTAGCGTGGCAGGTAGGGGAACATCTGCTCCACAGAGCTCTCCGGAAGTGAGCAGCCCCTCGCTTGGCCAGGAAACTCCAGCCTGTCCTCAGTGGCGCCCCCGGCTTCCTGGACGGCCCCCACCGTCTTTCCCTGCACACCTCTTCTCCCTGTCTCCAGGCCCGCGGCCTGTTACCAGCCCCTCCGCCCCGCCCCGCCCCGGCTCCGGACTGTGCTTTCTGAGCAGGTGGGGAGGCTGGGCAGCCTGGCTCTGAGAGAGAAGGCTGACAAAGAAAATCCTGCCTCTGTCTCAAAGATTCTCTCTCCCTCTCCTCTTTAATGTAATTTCCCCCACCCCCCGTGCAGGTTTTGGATTTTTCTCAAAAGCGACTTCCAAGAGTAATAGCATGATCGAGGGTTGAGAAGAGTGAATTAGGGCATGCTCCTTGTCACCAGCCCCCAAGTCCAGCTCCGAACGTCCCAAGTAGGCAGGAAGGAGCTTCCAGGATGGGCCTTTTCTGTTTTTTGATTGACCTGCAGTAGGAAATACACTTGACACTGAACCAGTACACACACATGCACGTATGTATAAATACGAAGAGACGTTAGTGAAAAAGATTTGCCTTCGTACACACGGAGCTGTTGGATAGTTTCTGTTTTTTTATTCCATTCCGGGTTTTTAGGAAACAATGGTTGCAACCCACTAAATTGATTTCACCATCCACTAATGGGTTGCAACCCACAGTTTGACCAACCCTGTGGTTTAAGTGAATTCACCTGCCCATCTCTTCTGAGGGGAGTCAAGGTCAGCATAGCCCAGGGCTTCTGGGGTCAGCTCGGAACCATGGGTGGCTCACCGCCGGCTGGAGTGGAAAGCCCAGCCCTTCCACCCAGCAGTCAGGGGCCTCCAGCCCCGTCCCCCTGCCCCTCTGCACATGCCTGCTTGAGCTCTGGGCTGCAAGAGTCCGGGTGAGCGTTGGTTCCATCAGGCATCCCATCCTGGCTCTGCCATCTACCGGTTGTGTGGCTGTGGCCAAGTTCCCTCATCCCTTGAGACCCAGTTTTCCTCGTTGGTAAAAAGAATGAGAAACCCCACTTCATGAGGGCATTTTCAAGTGAAGGTGAATTAACAGAGTTCACTGAGTGGGTGCTCGGTAACCATCCATCCTTTTGTTCCCTTGTTTGTTCAATCTCTGGCCCAACCTGACTCCTCCTGTCTATCCTCGTGCACCCACTAGGCCTCCCTCCCCTCAGTAGACTGGCCCAGGGACCCGCATCCTGCCTCTGTCCCCCTCCAGACCGGAAGCTCCCCCAAACCAGGGCCTTGCCGGGCTCTTCCCACGCCCAGAAGCGGTCCTTGCACGCTTCGCAGAGCAGGGGCACTTGCCTGTCACAACCAGCGTATTTAACATGGCAAACTCCGCTCCAGCCGTAGACGGTGCCCGGGCCCCTGCTCCTGCGTGCTTCCACGGAGGAGCTGGGTGTTACTTTCCGTCCCTATAAACCGCCCCGTGAGTGTGCTCATCGGCTTCTCTCCCTCCCGCTCTCACGCCCACCGTTGAGCCTGCGACCCAAGCAGCTGCGCGCACCTCCCCGCCAACCAGAGCCCGCCGCCCGCACGCCCGCCGCCTGCCCTTCGTTTTGGTTTAATTTTTGTTCTTTTAAGCTTCTGCGCTTCTCCATGTGCTGTGATCTATAACCTGCCTCTACTGTCTGGCCTCACAGGGTCCTCCGGGGTCACAGCCCTCGCCGCACGCACAGCCTCCACCTCACAATCCCAGCAGCATGATGGGACCCCACAGTCAGGTAAAAGCACTGTGGCTCGCCCGCCCGCCGGGGGGCGCGGGGCACGAGGAGGACAGAGCCAGCAGAGGAAAAACAAAAATCAAAATGTGCTCTAGCCATTGCTTTTGAGTCTTTATGGACAGATGATATTTAAAAAAAACAAAAACAAAAATACACCCCCCCACCCCCCCAGATAGTCTTCATTCCTTGGACATCACACCCAGCTTGGATATGAAACCAAAAGAAAAGCAAAGATATTTCTGTGACCTTGTCAGCGGCCTTTGCGTTTTTGTTTTTTCCTCTCTCACTTTTGGTTTGGTTTTTGAGTTCAGTTAACCATTTGTTCGTAAGCGAAGCTGCATCCCTAGCCTTTCTCTGTGCGCACTTTCACTGCTGAGATAAGCTTTCCTGCCCCTCGTCTTAGCCCCTTACCGTTCTCATTGTGCTCCCCCCCAGATCCTCGCTCCCCTTCCCCACCCCCTTTGTCGGTGGTTTCTGTGTGTGTGCGCACGCGCGCGCGTGTGTGTGTGTGTGTGTCCAGCTTTGTCCGCACACCCTGAACATTTTGTGTAGGAGTCCCTTTCTGATGGTTGATTTGCCCTTCCCGAGAGCAGAGTCTTCTTCCTTTGCCCCGCACCGCTGTAACTGCTCTTCCGCACCCCGTGCCCAGGCCCGGCCGCACTCTCCTGCCATCCAGACTAGATGTCCGTGGGTACACGCGGAGTCAGGAGCCGCCCGTGCCGGGCGCATCTGTCGTTCCCTCTGCCCAGAGGAAGTTGTGCCCAGAGGGAAGAGGCTACCGGGAGAAAGAGAGTTGAAAAGATGACTAGTAGTAACAAAACTGGACTTGGTGGCGTGGAGCGCATTCGTGTTTGTCCCTGTGCAGTAGCTCAGGCTGTCATTGAACTAATTCCCTATAATTGCAGCCTTTTATGTCACCGCGCTACGCAGGCGGCCCCAGGCCCCCGATCAGAATGGGAAACCAGGTACTGTACCTTTTCATGTTCTCTCTCCCCTCACCCAGCCACCCTTGCCCCCCGCTGGACGTTGACTCCAATGAGAATTTGGGGAAAGGATTTGGAGGTGAAGGGACAGGTTTGAATGTGGGAGGTAGCTTACAGGCAGGTCCCCAGGGAGGGCCCTTTGTCCGCTCTGTGTCCCCGGTATAGTCCCTTTGCAAGCATTGCATCTGCCTCTCCTGGTGGGCTCTGGGCAGCCGGTTCGAGCTCAGAGGGCAGCAGCAGAAACAGCCAGGCTGGGAATGCAGGGTTGCGGCTATTCTAGAGAAGGTGGTAATGCCCCTGCCCCCTCCCTTCCAGGCCCTTCTTGGAAAAGGGTCTTCCTCCTTAATGAAGTTAATTGACAACGTGCATTTTTTCCTGGAAGCTTTTGAGAATTGCCAAGGCTGGTAAATATAATCCTGCTATTAAGAGGAGAAATGGCCCGTAGGAATGCTTAGATCAGGAGCCTGGATGCAGCGGAGCAGGACATTTGTGAGTTTTTAAGCAATGTCTGCCTGTTTTCCCAGACCCAACTCAAAACAAGAAAGGATTTGTTCGTGTAATTAGAAAAGTGGTCTGCTGACGGGGAGGGCTTCTCAGCCTGGGGTTGTGTGCCTTATGCTGGCCCATTAGGGTTGGCAGTTCTTAGGTGGTCTGGAGAAATCGGCCCCCATGCCACCCTCCGTAGTTCAGCCCATGCAGGAGAGGTAAAGATAAAATATCTTTTGAGGATTGACGGATTTAAAAGAAGCTTAAAAAGAAACATTAGGGAGATTTCTTTTCATGCCAAAATATTTTTTATGTATGATTCTTAGAGTGCCCTTACAAAAACCCTTCAAAAGATGTGACCGCATCACCAGCGCAGCGCGTCCAGCCCCTACTGCCTTTGGAACTTAGGAGTTCAGTTACCAACTAGAGGGGCCTTACTGTTTCTGTTCTCGGGGCTCTGCAAGCAAGGCCTCCAAGTGCAGAGCTGCAGGGCCTAGGAGAGATGCTCATAGTCAGGGGCCTCGAAATTTTAGTGTTAAATTGCCTATCATGTTTCCAGTTATTTTTTTCCCTCCAAAAGTCTTTTGTTTCCTCTTTCTCTGACGTGAAGGAGAGATTTAGACAAGAATTAGAGACCCACCTTTTTGAACAAGGAGGGACCCTTGGGTATGTCACAGACAAGGAAACAGAAGGTCAGAGTGAAGGAGGGACTTCCCGGAGTCCTGCAGTAAGCCAGATCAAGTTGGTCTACAGCTCCCGGCCCAGTGCTGTTTCCTCTGCCCCTCACCCAATTCAGTGAGCTTTCAGAGTTGTAACCACGCTGCCCGAGTCAGCACGGGGGCCTCTTCTGCCATCACGTGCGTGGGCCCCAGCAGCGCCTTCCCCCACAGCGCACCTCGGGGCTCTCCTTGGCCCGAATGGACCTCTGCCCCATGGCGAGAACTGATGCACCCTTACCATCATTGTGGCTTTCCTCCAGCAATTAAGGGACACGAGAGGAAACATGTATGTTCCTATTTATCAATTAAACATGAGCAAGTGCTCAAGACAGCAAAGGGACAATGAATCCGACATCTGCATCTCTCGTTACAAATTTGTAACCTTCCCGCCAACCCCCTCCCCCACCATTGGAAATCTATACCGATTTCCGGTTTCCTGTGGACTCAAGAAATGTTTGCCCTCCAGGGAGGGACGTGCCCCTCTCAGGGGTGTTGCACCTGGGGGGTTCGCGGAGAGTGCCTCCGTTGGGGCTGCGGGTTGAGCAGAAGCCTCTGCCACCCTAGTGAGCTGAGCCCCTCCCCGTAGCAGGGGGAGGGGCAGAGGCAGCAGGCCTTGCTTGGATTCATGGAACCTCCTGTGTTAGGGCAGTGAGAAGGGCACTTGGGGGCGGGGGGGGGACAAGAAGCTAAGGACTGTTGACCTGTCCCCTGAGCCTTACAAGGCCATCCTCCCGCCTGCCTCCCCGGTGACAGGTTGTATAGAGAGAAAGCATTGCTGTTTTTCAAGCGAGAGTAGGTGGGTGGGTGGTGAACAGTGGGCTTCAGCGGGGCTGAGAGGAAGACTAGGACCCGGGTTTGTCAGGCAGCCCTCCCGTACACGTCCCAGAGGAGCCCCCCGCCGGCCCAGTGGCTGACGGGGGCAGGCAGCCGAGTGACCGTGCAGACGCTGCTGGGATTTGGCCGTTCCCTGGGCAGACGCTTCCTGCGCCTACCCCACAGTGCTCTAGGGGAGGCGCTGGCCTACTTCCAGGAGCCCGTGGGACGGCCCCAGAGCATCACTTTCCCTAGCAGGCTCTGCGAGTGCACACAGCATGTGCTTGCAGTGCCACATACGAGCCGTCCTTGTGCTTCTTTCTTAGGTTTGAGGGCTTCGGCCTTCTCTGCGTGAGACCCGTTATCTCGGTCACGGCCTGTCTGCCTTCTCTTGTAGAGGGGGCCAAGATCGTCCTGTCCCCAGCTCAGGGTCACCCCAGTGAGGGTTGGAGGGAAGTGATGCCCAGACTCCCTCTGAGCCTCCAGGCAGCCCTGCTCTGCTCCTGGGTCCTGACACAGCAGGGTGAGGGGAGCCCAAGGAGGAGCTTCCTTTGAGAACTGTCGCTGTCCTCACTGGGCTACCTGGTGAGGGGAGTGATTGCCCTACCCCCACGGTGCCCCATCAGGATTATAGGTGGGGGCATTCTATGACATGGACGGTCCCCTGTCCACCTCGACATCCTGGGATCTCCCAAACCAGACAGCCGCAGAGGCAGGCCTGCTTTTGTCCTCCAGGGTCCTGTAACCGGGGTCTAGAAATATCCCACACCCTCAAGTGGGCAGACAGAAACCAGTCAAATGATTCGGAGCTGGGGAGCCTGGGGAGAGGAAGCAGGGCTGGGAGAAAGCGAGCGGTCAGAAGAGCTAAGACCAGGGGCTAGAGAGACAGACTGTGAGCACCCCCAGGCCCTGGAAACAGCAGGTCCTCCCAGGTTTGGGTGGCCTACCCCAAGCACCACCACGCACTGGACACACACACACAGCCCTTTCGGAAGCTCGGGACAGCAGTGAGAACTAGTCTCTTTGCTTACCTCCACCTCGTTCCACAGCTGCTGTGGAGCTCCCCGCTGGGCCATCCCCCCCAGCCGCGGTGAGGGCTGGCGATGGAGGGGGTGGCTGTCCCTGTCCCGGGGGCCCGGCCTTTGAGAGGCACTGGCGTCTGCAGATGGGAAAAGGTGGTCCCTTTCATAGACGCTTTCCCTCTCAAAGGCAGGGGCCTGTTTTTAGTCCTGCTAGAAGCACGCTTTTCCTTCCAGCTCTGTTGCCTTTTTTTTTCTTCTTCCCGATTGCTACTGAAATCACTTCAGTCCCAAGTAAATCACTTTTAGTAGGTTTTCACGGCAAGTGTGCCAAGCATTCACTCAGGAAACCTGTGGCAACCTTGTCCTCACCTTCTTAATAGTAATCATACCAGCGTCTGCCCCTTGCACCAGGCTTTGGGGAGCAGGTTCTCACTCAGCCTTCTGCTCCCCCCTCTCTGGAAGGCCTCCTCTTCACCCCTGGGGCCAGAAGGGGGCATTTCATGTGGAGGACAAAGATAGGGAGTTGGGGGCCCTGAGTGCTCATCCTGGCTCTGCCACTAGGTGACTGGGGGGCCATTGGGCCTCTGGGCCTCAGTTTCCCCATCCAAACCTCAAAGGCTACCTCCTCCCCCGCGCCCCTGTAAAAAGACCCCTGTGTAGTGATAGGATTTTTGGCTGGGGGCGGTCTCCTGGTCTCCACACTTTCGGGGAGGGAATAGGATGAGTTACGTCTCCATGGGGTGAAGGAAAGACAGGGTGTGGGTTAAACCACGCTGGCCGGGGTCCGGGAGGTGGGCGCGGGGGCAGGCTGCCGTGGAGGGGTGTATGGCAGGCGGTGCGGCCGGGGCACAGCCCCGTGGAGACAGCAGGGTGTGTGGCGGGTCCTGTCCCGCCCAAGCAGCACCTCCTGCTGACACCAGCTCCCTCTGTCTACCACTCCTGGGGATGTTGCCCCCAGCCCCAGCCGGCAGGTCAGGGAGGCCATGCGTGGACCCAGAAGGGTGGTGGCGGCCGGGGCAGGCGGGCGTGTCTCCCTCTGTCCCCCAGCCACTCAGCGCAGCTCTCACGTCTCTTTCAGCCTCCGGGAGGAGTTCCTGGGACCCAGCCACTGCTGCCCAATTCCATGGATCCCACCCGACAACAAGGTAGAGGGCCGGGCGGGGCCGCCTGCGGCGTGGGGAGTCTGTGCTGTCTGCCCCCTGCTGCCTCACAGCTCCCCTGCTCTCTCGTACAGGGCACCCCAACATGGGAGGATCAATGCAGAGAATGAACCCTCCCCGAGGCATGGGGCCCATGGGGCCTGGCCCACAGGTAACCCCCTGTCTGTCTGTCCAGCTCCCTGGCCATCTGTGTGCACCCGCCTACTCTCCTTCTTCCACAGTCTGTCCGTCGTTCACGTCACTCAGCTCACGGGTGAGGGGAGAGGACACAGCCAAGTCCGCAGCTGCCCCCTCTGCCCATGGCTGGGCTGGCCCCCCACACAGCCAGGAGCAGCCCCCCTCGGTAGGCGGCAGGCCAGGTTGAGGGGCCCTCCGGGAAGCTGAGGGAGCAGGTCAGCCAGGTGTTGGCAGATCCTCCGTGGGAGGCTTTTGAGGAATTTGGAAGGTGGAGGGTCTGGTGCCCGAGCAGTGGTGTGGGTTCTCCGGGAATCCCAAAGCCTCCTACCCCAGGTAGGTGAATTCGAACTGGCTCAGGGTCCTAGTTTGTTGCGACCCAAAGGCGGCACGAATGAGAGGCAGTCCTAGCTCTGCCTACAACTAACTCACCGTTAGTCTGTCCTTGGGTGAATCATTTGACCTCAGGGGGCCCTAGTAAGCCACGGTCCCCCTGTTTGATGTGGGGGCAGGAGGAGTCTGTACCCCTGGTTCTCAGCGATGCCACCCCAGTGAGAGGAGACTAGGCTGGCCAGGGCCCCTAAGACCCTCTTACCCCCTTCCACCCAGAGCCTCTGCCCGTTTCAGGTCCCAGGCTCCAAGCTAAGATTTCTTCTGCCCAGAGAGGTTCTGTTGTCACAGAGGACCCCTCGGAAATCTCTGGGAGACATGACGTCAGGTGCCCTGTCCAGCTCTGCAGTTACAGCACACTGGTCACTCCTTATGCCCCAGCTCCAGGCCCCACAGGGACAGGCTCCCACGGGACCATCAGGCAGGGGTCTGACAGGCCTTTCCTGTTCTCGAACCTTCTCATGGTTGCTTCCCACTCTCCTGAGTATTTGAATGTGGCTCTGTTTCCTGTAGTACTGTGGCAGAGAGTTTGCTGATCTGACTATCTAAAAGAAGCTGGAAGTCTAAATAAGGAGAAGGGAGTTTCATTTAGCGACATCGGGAGGCTTTTGCTGTAGGGTGTTCCTTCCCTTTTCTGCCCTGCCTGGAAGTCTGCTTGTCGTCGGGGTCCGTCCCCCCATTCAGGGTGCAGATGTTTGCATTCTCTGGGCCCCCTCCCCAGGTTTCCGGTTCCCTGGGGGAGGAGGAGTGCTCCTGCTCCCAAGCTCACAGACACGTGCCCGCTCTGGTAGGGAGAGGTGTCTGCCCACACCCAGAGTCCTCCGCGCCGTCTGGAGTTGTATTTCCAGCACACCCAGCCCACTGCCTTCTCCTCGGTGGTGGCTGCAACATCTGTGCTGCTGAAAGATTTTAGGGAGGTCCTTGTCTTCTCTTGGCCCCCTAATCCTACAATGAAGCAAGCCCACACCAATTGCAGTTCTGGTTTTCTTGTTTGTTTCTTTGTTTGTTTTCTTTCCTCAAATCCCCCAAAGCTTGTGTTTTCACCAGTTCCTTTTAAGCCACCAGAGTGGCCCCTTCCTGCCATGTGGCTGTCTTGAGCTGACCTCTGCCGGGTGGCTCCGCTGAGGAACTCGTGGGAGGGGCTACAGGGTGTGAAGCAGAGCGTTGCCTCTCCTGGGTCAGGAACCTGTAGGTCCCTCAGCTGCACTTCAGAGATGCTCTTGGGGTGGATGAGCAGTGCCCTTGGACTTCCACAACATCCTGGGGAATCTGGGGACACAAGAGGATCTAGTGGGAAGGCCCCCGCCCACCCCTCTGGGTTCTTGGAGGCTCAGCAGCTCCATCTGTAAAATGGGCAAGAGACCAGCATTTGCTGTAGAGGAGTGCGCAAAAGGGGAGGCTCAAGTTCTGGGCATGACGCTTGGCATGGGGTACTCCCAGTAAGCAATGTGTGTCTTCCAACTTGGGGGCTGAAAATCGGTGTTCAGGACTCTCATTGCCTGGGTTTGATGATTGCTTTGAGTAGTGTGTGTTTTTGTTTCTGTTTTTTTTTTTTTTTTTTTTCTTTTTTCTGGCCAAGGCCATTAGCAGTTTGTTAAGCCTGTAGTAATCCTGAGGTTCTGGAAGCTGGGAATGGATGTCAGCAGACAGACCCAGAGCAGAGTATTCTGTAAGTTTAGGACTTCTTCCTGGCTTAGCAGAGCCCCTGACCAGCAGTCTGGCACACTCTTGTGGCATGCTTTAAAGAGGGGAGGCTCCTAAAGGCTGAAGTCTTACCAAACAAGGCCTCTTGGGTCCAGCGTGGCTCTCCTGATCTCGCCACATGGTGTGCAAGGGTGTGGCTCTCATGTAGACCCTGACAGGGGTGACCCAGCGGGGAGTGAGAAACTAGCCCAGGGATGAGGCCAGTTGATGTACCCCACCTCCGCCGACCTCAGGGGCTCTGGAAACGTCTCCCTTGTTCTTTATTTGACTTCACTGTATCAATAGGGAGACCCTAAAGTGCTTTGCCCATGTCTCCTGTACCCGTCTGGGTAGAGTGCAGTCTTAAATTCCAGGGCCAAACCTCCCTTAGAGCAACCCAGAATGTCTGCCCCAGCCCCTCACTGGGGGCAGAAGGGCCTGGCCTGGTGTGGGACAGGTTTTGGGGTCAGCCAGGGAGCAGGTACTGCAGAGTCTAGAAGTTTTGGACCCGAAGGCTGAGGGCAGGACCACCCCATCTCCTGCCCCCAGGCCTTTCTGGCTGTCCCCTGAGGGCGCGCTCTTGGTCACTCCCAATGGACAGGAGAGGGATGAACTCAGAACTTAGTGCTGGAAAACAGGGTTCCAGCCGCAGCTCAGCGCAGTTGGGCCTCTAGTCCCTCATCTGCAAAATGGGCAGCCGCGTGATCACCTTACAGGGTCCACTGTAGGTCTGGTAGAAACAGCCTGAGGGGCCTGCAGGGTGTTCCACGGACCCCGCTCCCTCCCTAGAACACGGGCTCGGCGGGGGCGGCGGGGTGGGGAGAGTCCTGTCTCTGCCACAGCCTGGGCTCTTAGAAAAGGAGGCCAGCCTCTTCGGGCAGCCTTTATAAGCACCACTGTATACACAGCGCCGTGCTGAGACCAGTCACAAAGGTGGGAAATCATCAGCCTGTTATTCCAAGTGCAGAGTAAGATTTTTAATAGCCAGTGACCACTCCAGAACTTTCTGAAGAAGAGATACACTGTAGTCTTGGGGCTACTTTATGGATTTCAAAGCCCAATGGACTGACATTTGCACTTTCTGAGCCTGTGCTGCGTTTTAGCCTAAATGTCACAGAGGACCCAGCAGACCAGGCATTGCCTTGCCCCTTTCCCTGAGTGTCTCACACAGGTTTTACTCTGGTTTGGTGAAACGGCCAGAGCCAAAAAGGAGGTAATACGTCCACTTAATTATAGTCTTTCCTTAAAGAACTATGTCGGTATCCGATGGGAATGTTTTGGCTAAGTGTTTCAGAAGTGACTCCCGTTGGAATGAGCCTAGAACTGCAAGGGCTTCTGGCCGGGCTCCCGTGGACAGAGCGCAGGGCCCCCACAGAGATGCTGTGGCTCATAGACCCCCTGGGTGCCAATGACTAACGTTTCTGGTGTTCAGGCTGGGGATGGAATCCACACAGGCTAGCATCAGATCGCCATCCTAGCTCGCGTGTGTTTGAGAAAGTTCACATGAAGGATAAACCCTGATCTCTAGGGACAGTCCTGTGCCACCTGGAAGAAACTGCATCTCCCTGCTGGTCCAAGGCAGCCCAGCTCTTTCTTGGTTCTGAGGCTTCTGAGTAATGGCCCCAGCAAGAAGGATCAGAAACCCGGCCAGAGCGGCTGGCAGCTGGGTGGGGAGAAAGTGGGGCCACTCAAAGCACCTTCCCGGTGGGGGCCCATAGAGGTCCCCAGGCCCCACATGATGAGAGGGGGATGGAGGACAGGACCCTGCTGCCCAGGAAACTGCCTGGACGGTGTGTCCTAAAGGCTGGAATGTTCTTCCCCTGCTTTAAGGTGAAGATAGTGCTGGGTGGGCCGTGGACAGCACCCAGAAAGACTGGGAGCTCGGGGAGTTGGAGCAGGCCCCAGCCCTTCATTGTTCCTGACGGCAGACCAGAGCCCTCTGCCCAGGGTCCGGGGTGTGAGGGGACGAGGGTGAGGGAAGACAGGGACCACCACTGTGGATGTGGCCAGCCCCACAGTGCGCTGAGGGTCCCTCCCGTGCATCTAGCTGCCCTGTCCGTGCAGAGCTGTGCCGATGGCACAGGAAGGGGGCATTGGGCTGCTGGTCACCTCGCAGTCTGGTGCTGTGGGTGGGCGGACATGGAGGGAAGAGAGCCGTTTCTGAGGAGCCTGTGAAACCATGCCTCCAAGCCGTCTATGAGAAGGCTGCTGTTTCTGCTTTGAGAACTTCCCCCCAAAGTTGCCCTTCGGCCCTACTTTCACCCCTGATTCAGCGCGCGCCCTTGGGCAAATCTGTGACCCCTCCAATCGGGGAGGTGTACGTGGCCCAGACGGCCTCCCTCTCGGGAAGTGGCCGTGCTGGCTATTTGGGAGGCTCTGGAAGGTGAGATCGAGGTAGGAACTGGCGTCCCAGAATCTCCCCCGGGGCGGACGGCACACTGCACGGGCGGGCCTGTTCCTGGAGTGAGCACCTGGCATGTTCTCTCCTGTCGCCGCGTCCCGGGCTCCACCAGCCCCCAGGCCGGCCTTCCGCTGGCCCGCAGTGGGCGGGAGAGGGAGCAGGGCCGCAGCGGTGGTCCCTGCAGGGGCTCTGTCTATACCGTGAGCTTTGTGGAAGGATCGCGGAGCTGCACGTGGGGCTTCGGAAGGGCCCTTTAAGACCCGAGGTTCTGTGATGCTTAAGGCAGCATTAAGGGCTTTGGTGTTCATTCTGCTGCTAACATCCCGGATCAGAACACACCTCCAAGAGCTGACAGAGCACTTGAAAGCTCTTGTTGCGTTTGAGCCTCACGGGGCTGTGGGGCTGGGGGCTCTCTGTCCCCATGGCGGCTGCACCAGGGGCTTTCACTCTGCTTCTGCCACTCAGCGTTTTCATCTTTCAGGAGGGGACTGCGATGGGGCCATTGTCACAGCCGTGTGCCCAAGCGGGGGCTAGCTGTTCTATGCTCCGACCTCCCGTCTGCGGCTCTGACTGCCGGCCCGAGCCACTGTGCATAGAGAGGGCCTGGCTCCTGCACGTCCCGGGGCTGACGCGGGACCCCTCTGGGGCCACCCCGCTCTGCCTCCGCGACTCCAGGCCTTGCTCTCTGCCAGTCGGCCCGGTGCCGTTCCTGTTGCTGTCTACACACTGTCTGTGTGTCCTTTTAGACTCCCAAGCCGCTGTCAGGGTGACCAGGCAGAGGACGTGGTCCCACGGCTTTCAGGTTCAGGAGCCGGGCCTTGGCTGAAGAACCCACCCCCAGCATGATGTTGGCTCTGAGCTGGTCAGCTCGGGGCCTTTCACCAGATGTGTGGTGGGGAGAGTGCAGAGCCAGAGGCTTGTAGACCCGGGTTTAAACCCCAGCTGAGTCACTGGCTTACCGATTCCGGGCAGATGTTTCTCCCCTCAGACCCTCAGTCTCCTCTTCTCTAAAATGGTGTTGTTCTAAGGATGAGCCAGAGACTGTACCCAAAATGTGTTATGTGCCTCCTCTGCCGTCAAATTCCCACCCTTACTTCGGTCAGATTCTACAAAGGCAGAGCTTAAGCTACAACCAGGCTCATTTTACTCTGTTCATTTACTTGATCACTCCTTCATTGATTGAGCACCCAGTCTGTGATGGCTGCTGTGTGGGGTGACGCATGCAGATCTTTCAGATACAGTCCCCACCTTCACCAGGTCCTCAGAGCCCAGTGGGAGAGACGTGTGGCCACGGCCATAGCCCAGCGTGGCAGGGGTCAGGGGATTACAAGGCATGATGGGGGTCAACAGTTAACCCCAAGAGGTGTGCAGGGAAGGCTTCACAGGGGAGGTGCTCTTCGAGCTGGGTTTGGAAGATGTGTAGGAGCCCAAGTGGAGAAGGGAAGCAAAGTATTTCTTTGCGAAGAAAATAGCGTTGGAAGTGGGGAGTCAGGGGTAGCAGTGACCAGAGGGTCCCGATCCTGGCACTCTTGTGACCCCCCGCACTGTGCTTGGGGGGAGGGGTTGTACTGAGCTGAGGAGGGACTCTTCCCTCAAACAATTGGTGACCCCCCCCACACACCCCAAGAGTTTTCTTCCTGCTTCTCCAGCACCGTGTATGTCGAGGGCCCCACAGGCTGGCCCCTGAATCAGGCAACCTGATCCAGGGGTTGGGGGACAACCCAGGTGTGGGGCAAGCGGGGGGCAGTGTCTGCACATGCTGGACCGTGGGGACAGCCAGCGGCCAGGCCTCTCAGGGTTCCTTCCCCTCCCACATTCAGACCCAGCCCCCGCCCCCAGCCCCGGAATTTCTGAGGTGGGTAGTGTTCACCAGTCTGCTCTCTTACAAGTCCATTCCCTTTCCCCGCCCGAGACCCGAGATGTGAGGGCTTGCTGAACATTCCCATGCTTTTGAGAGAACCATCCCGAAGCCTCCCTCTGTGCTGGCTTGTCATTGTGGTCCCGTCACGTGGTTCCCACCCCCTCACCTTTTTTAACGAATATGTTATTTTTCTTCCTCATCAGATCCTTTCCACAGACTAATCCTCTTGCTTATATTCTGTTTGTCTTCCCTCCCTCCTCCTCTCCGGTTCCCCTTCTCCTTCTATTAGACTGACCCTTGGTTATCGTTGCAGAATTATGGAAGCGGCATGAGACCACCACCCAACTCCCTCGGCCCCGCCATGCCCGGGATTAACATGTAAGGCACACCTGACCTTGCTGTTGGCTCAGAGCCCGCGGCTCGCTCCCCCCTGCCAGCCCCCCGAGACCCTGGCGGACAGAGGCGTCCCGGGCACCTCTCCGGCCCTCTGCCCTCCCAGCAGTGGCGTGGGGCGGGCGTGGCAGCTGCACTGTGACGGTGCCGCTCGGTGCTCTTCTGAACGGCCCGGGAGGTGGGTCTCAGCACCCCCCACTTACGGATGGGGGAACCGAGGCCCAGAGAGGTGAAGTAACTTGCCCGTGCTCACACAGCTCTAACGATAGGGTTGAGATTTGAACCCCTGTACAGCTGACCACCGACAGCTCTAGTCCTCTCGTCCCTAAGCCCCTTGCGGGGGTAGGTCCCCGTGAGAACCTGTGCGTTCCCTTCCTGGGAAAAGGCACACACACAGGAAATCTTAGGTACGTTACACATTTTCCGTATGATTTATAGGAGCTTGTAGATTTCCGCCCACGGAGCTGCCCGTTGCTCCCCGAGAGCCAGATGGTGTGTGAGGCGCTAGGCCTGTGCGAGGGACTTCCTGTTAGTGATGTCAGCAGTCTCGTTTTGGCCCTGCTGGCACCCCCCGTGGGGTTGACAAGACCTTGTTCATGGTCTTCCTCTGTCTCTCTCCCTCTCTCAGGGGCCCGGGAGCCGGCAGACCCTGGCCAAATCCTAACAGTGCTAACTCAGTGAGTACCCAGGTTGGATGGGATGGTGTGTGCGAGGGAGGGGTTTCTAGGATACAGGGTAGTCCTGTCCCCAGGTTGAAGGTGTCATCAGAGGCGGGGATGCAGCAAGACTACCCCCCCCGCCCCGCCCCCCCAATGTCTGCAGGGAGGCGCCTTGCTGTAAGTGGAGGCGTGGGAGTACCGTGCTGGGGCCTTCAGGGTTCCAGGCCCAGCCCTGCAGAAACTCTGACGGGTGAGCTGAGGGCTTGCTCAGAGAGCACTGTGCACCTAGAAACCTCTGGCGAGCCTCTCTTCCCTGGCACGGCTGGCTTCCCGCACTCAGAGGACAGAGCTGGGAAAGGGCTCCACTCAGAAGGCCAGAGGGCTGGGGAGAAGCTCCCGCTTTCCTGTCCTCTTGAGCTGGAGACTCTCCCATGTCCACGCCCCTCCCAAGCTCCCTGCCAAGGCTCTCAGGATCAGTTCAGTGTGGGAACTGGGCTTTGTTCACACCCCCGGCCCTCCCAGGGACACGAACCAGGGAGCCCACCACCTTTCCCCGCAAGAGGGGGAGTGTCCCCAAGTGGATTGGGGAGCCCAAGGGCACTCTGAGTATCAGAGGAAGTGACTCTGACGCATGGCTCCCCCACCTCTTGTTTTTAGATTCCATACTCCTCCTCATCACCTGGTACCTACGTGGTAAGTGGGTGTGGGTGTGGGACATTGCATGTCCAGCCCCATGTGACTGAATGCACAAGAGAACTTTTTCTAGGGTCCCTGTCTCTTTCCCCTTTAAAACACGTTCTGAGCACACGTTCCAAACTGTGCTAGGACCTGCTGTCACTATACAGGTATCTGTACCTTCTGGTGGCCCAGAAGTCCCCCAACAAGACCTAGAGTTAGGTCCCCATCTTGGGGCCTGACCAGTGGCCCAGCTGGTTTCCATCACAGGCCTCTGGTTCCACCCAGTGCCATGGCTGCCTCTGGGTTTGAAGAAAGGATGGGGGCAGACATCGGGGGCGGGGAGGGAGTCCAAGTCCAGCTCCCCCAAGGCTTAAACACTCAGACTCTGCTTGAGCTTTAGCAAGAGCCGAATACCGGGCTGGGCCCTGCGTGAGTCCTCACCTTTGATGTCTCTGGAGCTCGGTGGCTTCTTCCCACCCATATCATTGTCATGGGTTTTTGATGGCCATTTTTATCTCATTTCCAGGGACCTCCTGGTGGTGGTGGCCCCCCAGGAACACCCATCATGCCTAGTCCTGCAGGTAAGAAGGCTTGGGGAAAGGGTGCCATTGAGGGATGAAGGGGCCCCAGAGGGGCCCAAGTGGAGGGCCAAAGCTTACCAACTAGTCCTCCTGAGCAGCACTGCCTCCACCAGGTATCTTGACGTCAGGGAGTTAGGAGGCAGGAGGCCCCTCGTGCCAGTAACCTGTCCTGTGGCCTCAGCCAGGTCACTCCTCCTCTCTGGTTAAAGGATGGGGCAGAGTGGGGGAGATCCAGGAACGAGGGGTCTCCCTGTCCTCGGCTCGCACCTGTCCTGGCTGTGCATTTCTCTAGGTCACTAAAAAGGGGCTTTGGAATTCTGGCATCCTGGGACCAGGACCATATAACATGATGCCTCTTGAGTTCCTAGAACTCTTGGCTTTTGGTCCTCTCTATAGGCGATCACTTCTCCCTCTTTCTTAGATCAGAAGAGGGCATGCGTGCACACATGTGGGCATGCACACACATGCATACACACACTGCATCACGTTTGTGTTTTTCTCCCAGCTGAGAATAACACACTGCCATCTAGAAGGAATTCTACCAGTCTTTACCTACCCAGAGAATAAGAAGTGAGAGGTAGCTGGATTTCTCCCTGAGAAATAGGGTGCCTGCTCCTGATATAAACATGTTAGCTGGTTTTCTAAGGAGACTTTTCTAGTTAATTGGGGGAGACTGAGGGGTCCCTCTGTCCCCAGACTCCCCGACCCCCAGGAGTAGTGGGGGAGCGGGTGGCTGTGATGTTCTGGCTCCCACTCCCGCTCCCTCTTTCTGCTGCTGCATTTTGATGAGCTGCATGACCTACATTCAGACTGGGTCACATTAAACCACTCCATATGTTAATGCGTCTCCAGCCCCATCCTTGCCTCCCCTCCTGCCCCATCAGCTTGGCAGGGTGGCCCCTGGGTAATTTGTGGCGTTTCCCTTTCTCTGATTTGATTAAAGCCACTGGGTGGGATTGGGGGGTTGGGGAACGCAGGTGGCTGTCCCCGCACGGTCCCCGGCAGTGTCTGGGGACCAGATTGGGTTTGGGGTGGGGAGATGAGAATTCGGACCTGCCACCCCACCCCCCTCTGCCACGTTCACGCTGCTGTCCAGACGTCCTGGAATTCTTCGTTTCAGGGTTGAGTGGTTTTCACAGTTGAATTTTCTGTGATTAAAAACTTGGTGAATCTTCATTAAATACAAATTAGCCAGAAAATGGTGGTACTTAGAGGAGATTTTAGGTGATAAAATACAAAAGAATGAGTTCAAGTGCCATGAGTTTGTTTTAATTAAGAAATGAATTAATCACCCCGACTTGTGGGTTTCCACTGTTCTACAGATTCAACAAATTCCAGTGACAACATCTACACAATGATTAATCCGGTGCCGCCTGGAGGCAGCCGGTCCAACGTAAGTCCGCTTTCTAATAATTTACGTATCAGATACCATAACAAATCATAATTAACTTCATCAGCTGAGGGGAAAGCAAGTTTAATTGATTTCAGCCATTTGTTACCAAAGATGAATAAAATAAACCGTCAGAAAAGTGATTAACTCTTGGGGAACTCAGTTCCCATTTCGTAGCTGGGAGAGAAGGGGGATAGCGTGGTGCCCTCTCCCCTCTGGTCAGAGCGGGGCACCCAGGCTTACTGTGGGGATCCCTGCTGCTCGGAGTGGTGTGTTGGTGAGGGAAAGCACTAGGCTGCGGGTGGACCCGGGCCCCACCCTGCCCTGCTGATGGGCTGTGCCGCCCTGGGCCAGTCTGTCACCCTCTCGGGTCTGGAGCTGTGGGTTCCTGGAGCCCATCTGGACACCCGCCTGCCCTGTGCCTCCAGCCCCTTTGGGAGCCCCGTGACTCCTGCACCCTGGGGCTTCTTGGCCTCTCCTCCCTGCCTGGCTGGGAAGCCACCCTCTCCCCCACCCCCCCCGGGCTTCTCCAGGTCCCAACCCTCAGTGATGTTGCAGCTCAAATTCCACTTTGATTGCTGCTCACCCGCCACCTCTGTGTCCCCTGCCCTGTGCCGGATGGCCCTTTGACTCTGCAGCTCTGGCCCGTCTCCGTCTCCCAGCTGGGAGCTCCCTGAGGAGAGGGCTGGTCTGACTCACCTTTGCAGACAGCTCTTCTGCACCAGGCGGGGGAGGTGACTCATGCTGGCCTTGCCTCGGGGAGCGTGTCTGGAAAGGAGGCTGCTGGGGGACCAAACGAACAGTCTGGACTGCAGAGCCAGAGGGTGGGCACGGGGCCCCAAAGTTATTCTGGCCTTTTGGGGGTGCTTTGTTCGGTTTTGTGGGTTTGGGTCCTGATGTGACACCTGAATCACCACTGGGCTGAACACCGATCAGGGACTGCCCCATGCTGGACACGGCACGTGTTCGGTCTTCCGGATGCCTGCTGGATGCAGGGGGACCCAACCCGAGGATCACGTGACTGAGCAGCATGGGAACCGCACTCCCTCACCCTTGCTCCACCATCCCTGTCCGTCTCCTGGGCAGCCAGCACCCCATCACCCCTGCTTCTCATTAGGGTGACCAAGCATCAGGTTTTAGCACTAAAAGCTCTGTGTCCCAGGACAGCGAGTGTCCAAGGTTTTGGCAGTGGATGCAGAAGGTTGGGTGGGAGGGAGCAGGGCTCTTGGGGCACCCCAAAGCCAGGGACTGAGCTCGCTGGGCTCCGCATCAGCTGGAAATGGCACAGAGGACCCTTCTGCCGCGGCCGCCCCTCCCCTGACCACGGACGCCAGCGCTCGTGGCCTGTGGCTCCCAGTGGACGGTCCATGCCGCGGCCCTCCGGGGGCAGCTCAAGTGCACGGCAGCCCGGATGGGGTCCGCCTTGGCTCTGCCCGCGGACTCACTGCTGTGCTCTGTCAGGATCGCGCCGGCCTCATTTTCCACGTTGTGAGTACGGGCGCCAGTGGGGCCCCGACCTCACCAGACCGGTGGCTGCCGGGGTCGGGGAGGACACACGGCGCTGAGGGAGGGGAATGATGGCCACAGAGGTCCCGCACGGTGGGCAGAAGGGGGCACGGAGGCCCTGGGTTGCGGGTGCGGGCCGGACAGCACAGCTCACGCGGCCCGAGAGGTGCCCCGGCTCCGCCAGGGAGGGCGGCCAGCGGATTAGTTAGGGCACAGCACTCAGACCCCACCTCCACCGCCACCATGCCCTTCCCGCTGTGGCTCCATGAACTGAGGAGGCTCAATTCCCGGCTTCAGAGGCTGCACCTGTGTGCCAACAGAAGGGGGCGTTCTGATTTCCAGCTGATTCTGTCAGCTCTTGCCAGCAATCTGGAGCTTCCCACAGTCTGTCAAGTGGTGCCTTGCGTCATGGTGACAAAAACACGTCCCCCAGCTCTTCGGTACTTTGACTCAAAAGCTGGAGGGAGCTTCACATCAGTGTGTTGACTTCTGTGACGATTTTATTTTATTTCTTTAATTTTTTTTTTAAGATTTTATTTATTTATTTGACAGAGAGCGACTGGCAGGGGGAGTGGGAGAGGGAGAAGCAGGCTTCCTGCAGAGCAGGGAGCCCGATGCGGGGCTCGATCCCAGGACCCTGGGATCATGACCTGAGCCGAAGGCAGACGCTTAACCAATGGAGCCAGCTGGGCGCCCATTCTGTGATGATTTTAATGAAACTGCAGAAAACAAATGAAAGATGGCTCTTCTCTTGTCCAAATACAAGCTCAACTTGGCCCCTCTATCTGCATATTTGGCACATTTCATTTGGTGTATAAACTTCTTACCTGCTAACTGTCCCACACACCTTGTCCCCAGCTCTGCTGCCAAAGGGTATGGCTTGCTCACCTGTGATGCCAGGCTTTCATAATGAAAGGTTTGGGTCACCTGTCAGTCTCCTCAAAATGTGCAGATACACTTAACGGGACTTTGGACTTGGTCGACACGTGCCCGCACGGTTGCTGGCATAGAAAAGGTGTTAATGGGTCAGCCTGCCGTGACGTCCTTCTCTAATGGGAACCACACTGAGATGAGAATGTAGAGAGGAAATGTTTACGCTGTGAATTTAGAACTGTTCAGTGATCTTTCAGGAGGCTACCGGGAGCCTAGAAGAGGATGAACAGACCACTCCTGAGTCATTCCGGGGGGGGGTTGGGGGATTGCATCAAAACCTCATCGGCCGAAGTGTAGGGACTTGGGTTTTGGAAATGAGATTGCCCGAGAACTCAAAACCTGTCACCAGTAAAGAGCAGCCACGTTAAATAGAACTTTCTCAGCTTCTTGATTAAAACTGTAACTTACGGGGCACCTGGGCGGCTCAGCCAATTAAGCATCTGCCTTCAGCTCAGGTCATGATCCCAGCGTCCTGGGATCGAGCCCCGCATCGGGCTCCTGTTCAGCGGGGAGTCTGCTTCTCCTTCTCCCACTCCCCGCTGCTGGTGTGCTGTCTCTCTCTGTCTCTCTCTCTGAAATAAATCTTTTTTTAAAAAAACTATAACTTATTTGGAGTCCAGCTTGGATCTCACAAGTTCATCTCACCTCTGTGCTTTCAGCCACTTCCCCGAGAGCTTTAAGTGAGAACGACCTCCACGGTGCTTTGGAACGCTTAGAGGTGACGGACATCTGAGACAGGACAGGCCTGCTGATGGATTTAGGGATGCAGAGGACCTGACTGACAAGCTCTGGCCTCCCTAAACTAGCCTGTAGATAGAGTATGATGGACCTCTTAGGAGAGTTGGAAGGGAGTTGCTGCAGGTCTAAAAACCTGTGCGAGTCAGTGACATCCCACGTACTCCATGCACAGACGTGTTTGTAGAGAGGCTTTTTCCGTGTCACCGTGTTGGGCTGACAGCAGGGCCTGATAAGAGCAGAGTGGCAGGTCACAGTGAATTTTGCATTTGCCTCTGTATTCAGTTTACCATTACCTAAAGAAATTAAAAAGCATGGCTTAGAGGCTGTAGGCAATCCAGAGAAGTTCTGGGGGAAAAGCAGGCACCTTCTGCCCTGTTGCACCCGCGAAAGCAAGATGGGTCACCCCGGCAGCTCCACCGCAGCCCCTGGAGAAAACTCAGCCTGGGTTCGCACTCCAGCCATGTCTTCGTGACCTGGCCCGGGCCCATCCAGAAATGTGGCCACCTGTGTTCCCATCCGGATGCTTGTGATTTTTTTAAAAGATTATTTATTGGGGCACCTGGGTGGCTCAGTCGGTTAAGTGTCTGCCTTCAGGTTGGTTTATGGTCCCGGGGTCCTGGGATCAAGCCCCGTGTCGGACTTCCTGCTCAATTGTCTGCTTCTTTCTCTCTGACCCTCCCCCCTGCTTGTGCTCTTGCCTGCACTCTCTCTCAAATGAATATTAATTCGAGAGGAGCCCACTTGTGTGGGAGTGAGAGAGGAGGGGGGAGGAGGAGGGGCAAAGGGAGAGAGAGCGAGAATCTCCAGCAGACTCCCCACTCCATTGAGCTCGGAGCCTGACTCGGGGCTCGATCCCACAACCCTGAGGTCATGACCTGAGCCGAAATCAAGAGTCGGACACTTAACCGACTGAGCCACCCAGGCGCCCCAAGAAATGTGATTTTTTTTTTTTTTTTTATTAGAGAGAATGAGAGAGAGCACGAGAGGGAAGAGGGCAGAGGGAGAAGCAGACCCCCTGCTGAGCAGGGAGCCCGATGCGGGACTTGGTCCCGGGACTCCAGGATCATGACCTGAGCCGAAGGCAGTCGCTTACCCAACTGAGCCACCCAGGCGCCCAAGAAATGTGATTTTTAAAAATCAAACATAAGTAGTATCTGTTTAATCAGTCCATCACGTTTAGCTTTTTTTAAAAAAACATATTTGTTTAAGACTACATAGTAATATAGCCTACAAAATATAAATACCTAATAAAGAGCTCAAATAAATTACTGTATTAGAGGACCAGAAACATTATAAAAATGTTATGTTTTTCTCACACAGACTGTTCATTTAACTAGTCCTCTGTTCACTGGTCCCGTTAACTAGCCTTACTCTGGCTTTTTTGAGATAATAGCATGTGTGTAACAAGGTCACTAACACAGAATAAAGGAGCAGTGCAGGGACAGCAGGTGTGTGAGGTCGGAGTGCGGTTCACAAGGACACCCAGACTCCGGCGCGCACAGTCCATCTGCCCGGCGGCGCTGAAGGAGGGCAACAGGGTGCATCTCCGGGGCCTGGCCGGAAGCAAAGCCTTCTCCCCGGTGACCCTGGAAGCACAGGCGACAAAAGCAAAAAGCAGGTAAATGGGACTTGATCAAGACTGAAAACTTCTGCACTTCAAAGGGACGCCTTCCAGAAGGTAAAAACACAGCCCACAGAGTGCAGAGAACATTTGCAAATCACATACCTGATACGGGACTCGAATCCAAAATATGCAAAGAACTCTTAAAACTCCGTCATGAAAAAACAGCCTAGTTTACAAAATGGGCCAGGGGTCAGGACAGGCATTTCTCCAGAGACGCACTGGTAGCCAACAAGCACACAGAAAGACGCCCCGCCTCGTTGTCACCGGGGAAATGCAAAGCCGCAGTGAGCTCAGCTCTGCACGCTCCCGAGGTGGGAACCGAGAAGGACGCAGCTGCTGTGGAGAACCATCTGGCAGGTCCTCGGAAGGCTATGCAGGGTCCCCGCATGCCTCGGCGCTCCTACTCTGGGGTCGGTCTCTCCGCACGAGAAACAAAGCGCGTGTCCACCTCGTGATGGCTAGAAAGTGGGAACAACCTCGTGTCCCCCGGCTGAAGGGATAGAGGACGTGCAGTCTGCGTACGCCGGAGCGGGTTTGGCCAGAAAAGGCATGAAGTCCTCTTCGGTGCCCCAGCACTGGTGAGCCTTGCAGACAGGCTGAGTGAAGGGAGCCAGCCACGAAAGCTCATAGAGGATTCCGTTTATACAAAATGCCCAGAACAGGCAAATCCACAGAGGCAGGAAACAAGTTAATGGTCGTCTGGGGCTGGGGGTTTGAGGGGGAATGGGGAGGGACTGCTAAGGGGTACAGGGCTTCTTCGTGGGGGTGATGACAAGGTTCTAAAATGGATGGTGGTGGTGGTTGCACAACTCTAAATACACGAGAAACCACGGAATTGTACACTTGAAATGGGCCAATTGTATGGTATGTGAATTATATCTCAGTAAAGCTGTTAACAGTACGCAAGAGGGGTGCCTGGGTGGCTCAGTCGGTTAAGTATCTGACTCTTAATCTCGGCTCCGGTCTTGATCTCAGGGTCATGAGTTCAAGCCCCGTGGTGGGCTCTATGCTGGGCATGGAGCCTATTTAAAATAACAATAATAATAATACACAAAAAACCACCATGATACATAATTTCAAATCTTTTTAAATATGTTAAGAGTCATATGTTCATGACCTTATCACGCTTGGGGACTGTTTTGTCTGATGGGGTTGTGTCCTCAGTTGACTCCCTAAAACGTCAGTCACCCTCGTCCTCTCATTTGGATTAAGAAGTGTGAAATTTGTTGCCAGATGTCAAAAATGTGCCCCGGTGCCTGTGCGTGGCCCTGGGAAGCCTCTGGGGCGGCAGGAGGCGAGGAGGCTGCGGCTGGGGTGTCCGTGTTTGGGCAGATGGGCGAGAGGGAGCGCCTGCGCCCCAGCCCCGCCCTGCAGCCTGGGCACCCTGGTCTCTTCTCCTGCACTCCCTGCTGCTACCTGCCTCTTCCTGTGCTCATGCGGGACCCCTACTTAGAATGGCTTCCACGACCTGTCTCTGCCTGCCCAAGTCTACCCCTCAGTTATTTTGGTCCTCTGCCTCCTCCTCCATGCAGCCTGTTTGGATTTCTCTGCCCTCTCCCCAGTGCCTCTTCCTGAAGCCTTGGCCCTGCTTGTCTGCAGCTCCCTTTGCAACGCCGCACGTCTGTCCCGTGGGGTAGTTGGGTGTCCGTAGCTGTGGGCTCCTCTTCTGGGCTGAGGCCCAGCCGTGACTCGGCTCTCTGTCCCTAGCCCTCAGCACGGACCAGATGCCACGCAGTCCACCCCTGTCCACCCTGACGTCCGGTCTGCATCACGGGGCCTTAGCTTTCTGGATGGGGCTCAGCCCTCCCTTCGTGACCATGTGACGTTTCGCTGCTGCTTTTCTGAGATGGTCTGATAGTTCCCCACAGGCCTGAGGCTGGTGGGGCTGGAGCAGATTCGCCTCTGGCCTCTTACCAGCCTGCACCACCACTTCGGCATGGGGATGTCCTCAGTGGCCTCCCTCCACGCTGTCCCCTGCCCAGCTTCTCCCCTTCCCGCCCCCCTCCCCCCAGGCACCCAGTAGACCCCATCTCCTCACCTCCCCCTTGGAACTCCTTCATCTCTGAGGCAGCACTCAGAGGCCGTGCCCCCATCCCAGCTCCTCCCAGCTCCTCCCAGCTCTGGGGGACGGGGATGCCTCCGGCAGAGCATTTCCCACTCTCTCCGTGCTTCAGTTTCCTTATCTGTAAAATGGGGAGGAGAAGCATTAATACTTTGGGCCCCTGGCCGGGCACAGGCAGTCATCCATTTGTGTGTGTGTGTCTGTGCGAGGTTCTGACTGGGGAGCCACACGGTCCACCCTAGGGACAGAGAGAGCCCAAGTCCATGCCACTTGGTTAGAGAGCTGTCCCGGTGCGACACTGTGTGGCCCCGGCCCAGTGTCTTTCCTTCTCTGGGTTTGTGTCCTCATTTGGTGCGTAGGGCGGAGCACCTCTGCCCTGCACAACTCTGGGGGCCCAGGAGAGGGGCCAGCTCCAGCCGAGGGGCGTGCCAGAACGGAAGCCCCCTGAGGACACAGCTCTTTTGCAGCTGGGTGTGGGAGCCCAGGAGAGAGCTGCAAAGGGCCTGGGGCCCACTCAGCCACCACGCCCTGTGCTTCTCCCCCAGTTCCCGATGGGTCCAGGCTCAGACGGCCCGATGGGAGGCATGGGCGGCATGGAGCCACACCACATGAACGGATCGTTAGGTAAGCGGGCGCCGGCCCCGTGGTCACACTGCACCAGACCCTGCCCCAGCGGCCGTCTTCGGCTCAGCCAGGCCTGGTCCGCCCTCCCCGCTCCCACTGGCCTTGGCTGGGCCCTAAGGAAGATCCCCAGAGATCCAGCCAGGACGGGAGACTCTGCACAGAAGTAGTGTGGGATTTGGGTGGGTTTGGAGGCCTCTCCACGGAAGAGCAAACAGGAAACTGAATCTGAGCCTTCCTTCCTTCCAGGGTCAGGTGACATAGATGGACTTCCAAAAGTGAGTGTGTATTCTGTTTCCTCCCCGACAGCATCCACCCTGCCCCAGCCCCGAGGCCCCAGAAAACTTGTCTCCCCGTCGGGTGGGACGGTTGCTGGGGCGCTGGGGCTCACCTCCTCTCTGCTCCCTCCAGAATTCTCCGAACAACATAAGTGGCATTAGCAACCCTCCAGGCACCCCTCGGGACGACGGTGAGCTAGGAGGGAACTTCCTGCACTCCTTCCAGAACGACAATGTAAGTGCTGCGTGTCCCCCCCCCCCCCCCCCCCCGCCCCGCTTTGCCCCTGGATTCCTCCTCTTACAGGGCCAGGGGCTGTTTGTTGAACAAGTTGTGGGGCCTGCTGGCTGAGGCCAGCCTGGCTGACTGGTGTCCTGGCAGCCATGTCACTGGCTTTCTCCTCGGTCCCTTTTCTCCACAAAGTGCAGAGCCCCCCCAGCCACCCCCCGCATGGCCTCAACCACTGCCACCGTGACCACTGGCAGGTCCTTCTGGAGGCATCTACAGGGAGGCACAATGCCTCCCAACACTGAGAAAGTGGATGTGGCTGGAAGAGCCCTGGGTTGGGACTCCAGAGGCCTGGGCTCTGGTGCTCTGGGCCTCTGGGCAGCATGGTCTCTGGGGGTCCGCGTCTTTCTGTCCTGGGGAGGAGGGTTCGTGCAACCAGAGATTTCCTGGGGTCTCTGTGCAGGGGGGCTGGCTTCTACTTCCAACCTCATTTGAAGAAACAAGGTCATGCTGCAGCAGCTTTTGAGACCCCCAGACTGGCTCCCGCACAGGGCACCCTGGCAGAGCCCTGGCTCGGCCCTGCAGGAAAGCAGCCCAGCCGGCCCTGGGTGGGGAGGGCAGTGTCTGGGGGGGACTTGAGAAGGGGGGGCGGGGGGGTTACGGCAGCCCCCGGAGCTCCCACCGTGAGGCACAGGCTGGGGCCGAGCCGCCAGAGCCACCCCAGGCTTCCCCGCCCAGCCACACACCCGACGGGCCCTCCCCAGCGCCCAAGGCTCGCACAGCCTGGCCCTCACAACGCCGTCTCTGCTTCGCCCCTTCCAGTATTCTCCAAGCATGACGATGAGCGTGTGATCCCCTCCTCTTCTCCGAGACGCTGAGAGAGCCGGCATTTCAGGCGGGAAGATGCCAGAAATTATGCAAGAAGAAGTGAGGTGTCATTACCCAGGAGCTGGGGGAGGGGCGTCTCCCTGCTCCCCCTCAGCCCCCCCTCCTCCTCCAGTCCCCCCACCTGTCCCAGTTTTAGTTTCATGCAATAAAAAGGCCGAACTTTTTATTCCATAAAACATGAAGGACAAAACTCAAAATAAAAATATATTTCAAGTCAGTGACCAGAAAAATCCCACCCCTTGCCCATTCCCAAAAGGACCTTTTATGTACGTGACACTTTTTTGTTTGTTTTTTTTTTGTTTGGGGTTTTACCGTTACTGGGATTTTTTAATTTGTTTTCAGGGGGGTTTTTTTGGGGGAAAAATTTTTAAAAATGGAAGCTTCTAGCAAGCCCCCCCCACCCCACCCCAGTCAACCTCTTTGCTTTCTTCTTTAAAAAAAAAAAAAAAAAAGAAAAGGACAAAAAAAAAAAAACCAAGCCCTGCTGTCTGTACCCAAGCCCTTCCACCAGGAAAGCTAGTCTAGGTGTGAGGTCTCACGCTGTCTTTGTAGCCATCTAAAAATAATGATAATAATAATAAACTGGGCAGTTTACAATCGGTGGTTTCTTTCAAAAGGCCTTTTTTGGAAAGAGAAAAGAAAGTCACCTTTCTCCGCTTGGGGCTTTTGGTTTGTGCGGATGGGCAAGGGAGGGTAAGGAACCTGTTTCGGTTTTGCTTGATTTCTCCCGGCCGAGGTGGCGCCGGCAGCTGCACACGTGGGACCCCAGAACCGTCCCCCCTCCCCCACTATGTGGCCTGAGGGGCCCGACCACCCGACCGCTTTCAGGACTCCGCGGCGGAGACGCGCTGTGACCCGGTGGCATGCACTGTGTTCCCAGGACTGCTTCCTCCTCTCTCTCTTCTGGACCTTCCCCCACCCGGCCTCCCTGACGCTCCAGCCCCGTCCTCAGCCCCCACCCCAGTCTTCCCAGCGAGAATCCTGCCAGCTGGGTGGTGGCCTGGACGGAGCGCAGTGGGGGAGGCCGCCCCCGACAGGATGGCTATGACCTGGGACATGGCAACTGTGACCCCCGCGTTCTCGTCCCGTGGCCCTGGCTCGCATCGTCCTCGTCGTGTGTGTGGGCACCATAGGGCTGGAGTTTGGGTTTTCTTTTGTTTTTTGTTTTTTGGGTTTTTTTCTCTTGATTCTTGCTTCTTTTTCAAAGATGGGAAATTGACCAGAATTGCTCTGTATACACTTGGAACTGGATGGAAAGACTTCGGAATAGCTGTGGGGGGCGGGGGACACCAGTCAAACAGACGTGCTGTTTCGGTCCTGTTTTTATTTTCAAAAACCGACAAATGCGACAGTGGAGCCTGTCCCCTCCCAGGAGGGGGTGACTCACGGCCTCCCTCACCTCACTGCTCCCATCGAAACCTCTGTGTCTTGCCCTGAAGACACCTGAATTCTTTGTACATTTACAGCCCCTCCTCCCCGCACCCCTGTAGCTGCTGTCTGTTCTCCTCCCTCCCTCCCTGATCCATGTATATCATACTATGTGAGATACCATCTGCCTGAAAAAAGACCTTGTGCGGATTATTGGGAACATTGTAGCTGTTTCTGTGTTTTTTCTTACCTTGTAGTCTGGTTCTGAATTAAGAGAGGAAAAAAAAAAAGTAATTATGATACATTGTAGTTTGTGTACGATATATGTTGATAACGTTTTATTAAAGGGACATCTTTTTTCCGCAGCCCTTCCTGACATGTTTCGGGGGGGTGGGGGACGTGGGTCGGAGTTTATTATACTGACTACAGAATGCAAGGTGACTGGTCGGGCTGTTTTTGTTGCTGGTGCATAACAAGATCTTGTTTTGTGTTCAAGGTGTCCACCCTCTTTTCCTGGGCATGTTAATCTGTATTTTGCATTTGCTCTGCAGGGTCGTAGTGGCCTTTGGGGAGGGGGGGTTGGGAAGCAAGGCCGCAGTCTCACGTCAGACATCTGGGGGCGTTCTAAAATGCACCTTCAGCTTTTTGTCTTGCCGACACACGCCGGTTTGCCGGAAGGTATTTTTCAGCGAGTAGAAGAGGTTCCTGGTTCTGTGTTCCGTGGGGAGTCCACACAGGCCAGGGGGGCCCCAGGAGCTGTAGCCACACAGCCTTTCCCACTCGGGTGGCCTCCGCCCTAGGCCAAGGCTGGGGGTCCCCGGGGACACTGATTCTCCTGTTTTCAGTTTGGTCTTGTTTTCACCTCCAAGGATTTTCGGGGTAGCCTTCGGCATCCTGGCGGGGGGTGGGCAGACGTGGGGAGACCCAGCCCCAGCCTCCGTCCACAGAGTAGAGCCAGGGCCCCACGTAAGTCGTGGGGTGTGCGGGTGTGGACATTTGAAGTAGGATTTTCTGCTTCCCTCGAGCTTCGGGGACCTTGCTCCAGGCCCGCAGGAGGGGAGGGAAACCGTGTCGGAGCCAAATGTGGGCTCAGTAGACCTTCACGAGGTCTGACCCTTCCAGACGCAAACTGCCAGTTTCCGATCTGTTTTTTTTTTTTTTTTTTTTAAAGATTTTATTTATTTGACAGAGAGATAGAAGAGCACAAGCAGAGGGAGCGGCAGAGGGAGAGGGAGAAGCAGGCTCTGCACTGAGCAGGGAACCCGATGCGGGGCTCGATCCCAGGACCCCGAGATCATGACCTGAGCCGAAGGCAGCCGCTTAACCATCTGAGCCACTCAGGCGCCCTCCTCTCTGCTTTTGCCGCTACTTCCCTGTGGCCGTGGGCGAGTGCGTTCCTACCCGTGTCCTGTCTCCTCGTCTACAAACCTTCCTCACAGGGTGGTCGTGAGGACGGGCTGGCGCTCGCGAGGGGCTCGCACCCGTAGGGGCCGCCAAGTTAGCGGCCGCTGCCCCTGTACTCCTGCTTGGAACGGGGAGTCCGAACGGGGTGCCGGGAGCAGCTGGGAGGGCCTAGCAGCTCGCAGCTCGCCCTCCCCTCCTCTTGAGCAGGCCTTCTGGGCTCTTCCTCCGCACGGACGCCTCTGACGGCGCAGGCCTCACGGCTGGGGCAGACGCACCCGGACTGGGACTGAGCCGCACGCGGCTCTGAAGGCTTTTGTTCGGGAGCCCGGAGCCGCTGCCAGCGGGCCCCAGGCCACCAGTGCTCTCCAGGCAGACGGGAGCCATGGTGCAGGGTGCTGAGCTGGGAGGGGATCCTGCCTCGAGCCTCACCGTCTCCCCCACCCCTGCTTGCGGGGTGTTCCTCAGAGCTGGGGACGTGTGTTCCCTGTCCCCAGAATCACCCAGTGGGCGCTCAATTCAAGGAGGAACTGGATGTTTGTTGGGTAGTCACCCCTGCATACTGTCACCTGTGGGCAGCAGCTCAGGCAGGGGAAAGGTGGCCTTCACGGCTTCCGTGGATCCGGAGCAGAGCGCTCTGTCCGCGTCTGCTGGCAAACTGGGAGCTCCTGGAGGAGACCGGGGCTCGTTCTGTAGCTCCGGCTCCCCGCACGAGGCCGGGCACACAGCAGGTGCTTTAAACTGGGCCTAATTGCTGCACTGCCCCTAGAGGAGGTCTGTAGTGGGGACCCTCAGGGCTCAGTCCCCAGGCCCGACCTAGTGTTAGGCGCCATCGTGGTCCGGCTGGGGATGAGGAGATCCGTGATGTGTGTGTCGGGGCGGGGGGCGGTGACAGCTAGAAGGGGCTGTGCTGCTGTGGGGAGGCTGGACTCGTCACCCGGGGCAGCAAGCCTACCCTGGACGCAGGTGGGGAGGCTGAGGCTGCGGGCACTTGGGGTTTGGGGGAAGTGGAGACCTCTCTGTGGAAAAGGCAGCTGTCCTCACGTGTGAGACTTCCAGCTCTTCGCACTACATACACCACCCGGTCTCTGAGCCTGTTCCCCCTCCCGTAGTGGGGGGTAAAACCCGGCAGCGCTGTCTGCCTCACCTTGCAGCTCAGCTGCGTGGGACCAGAGCTCAGCTCTGAGATCCCCAGGGGACACACCAAGGCCAGCCCGCTAGGGCTCTCGTCACTCAAGGTGGACTGCCGCCCAGGCCCACCCTGCAGCACCGGCCCCTCCCGGCCTCCCTCCCACAGGCCTGGCCCTCTGCCTGCCCCCCTCCCGCTTCCACTGGTCTCCAGGGCGTTCCGCCAGCCCCGCCTGGCTCCAGGCCGCCGCCACCACCCCACCAAGCCTAAAAGGTAAGTTGCACAGCGGATGGAGGGCGAGCGCGGGAGCCACACAGGGAGGAGCTCCACTTTGCCATTTACAAGCTCTCGTGGCCATGATGTGCTCCCAGATGTCTCCTCGGACGCCCTCCAGCAGGGCAGACTAACTGCTTCCGTGGCTGCCTGCTCTCGGCCAAGTCCCTCTGGGAGTCGCCCTCCACCCACCTCACCTTAGGCGTCTCCCGCTGTGACGAACAGTGAGTATCAGTGACTGGCGGCAGGCCAGTGGAGTCCGCAGAAAGGCTCAGCTCCTCACCTCTGGGCGGGACAGCTCTGCTTCAGAGCACCCACAGAACTGGGAGCTGGCCGAGACCTCAGATGCAAACCCACCGAGCTCAGGCTCTCTGCCCAGCATTGCCCCATCACTCCCCACAGGCGCTGGTCCTCCAGGTCCTCCCCCAACTCACCTGCACATCCCCAAGTGTTCTCCTAGGAAGCTGACCTGTACCACCCGCCATGTGACCTAGGGGACCTTATACTATCTGAGTTCCCTTATCTCGAGGGCCCAGAACAGTGCCCGGCACATGGGCATTCAACCACTTCCCTGAATATGGAAACGACACGTGAGGATTAAACAGGATGCTACGTCTAAGGTGCTGGGCCCTGAGCAGAACCTGGGTGTGATGTGAACAAAGAGAGGCCAGCCGAACCAGGGATGTACTTGGTCTACCAACCCGGATGCTAGGGAGAAATCTACAATGGATGTTCTATTCAGATTTCCTGCAGTCATTATGAAATGTGCCCACAATTTAGAGAGTCCCGTGAGAACCCAGGGAGCATCAGAGAGCACCTATCCTATGGCAGATGCTCCATACGCATCTACAGTCTTCAAGGGAGGTCATGTTATTCTCAAGTTTCAGGTGAAGAAGGTAAAACTCAAAGAGACGAAGATTCTTATCTAAAGTCCAAGTGGGCTGTGGGCAGAGCCGGGCTTAAGGTTGGGCAGGTCAGGCTCCCGAGCTTGCACCCGCGGAGGCCAGCTCACGGCACGGCCCACGTACAGCTATGGGCGCCCCTCCTGACGGCCCCCCACACCAGGCCCAGGCTCCAGTGTACTGGGAGGCTCTTTATTGGCAGCCAGACAGCAGGCCAGATGAACACGGAGGCTCCAGGCAGGCCCAGCACTGCTCTGGATACAGGATCTTCTGCGGGAGGGGGGCAAGGAGGCTTCAGACCTCAGAATGGTCCTTGGCTCACACAGCACCATGTAAATACAGAGCTAAAAACTTCCTGAATGTCTCTGGCTGGAAACCAGTCGGCCCAACAGGTTCCTGGAAAGAACACAGCCCATTAGGATCCTGCTACTAGGTTTAATGGCAGCACTGAAAACAAAGGTTGGTTTTATGCAAAACCTAAATGGCTGGATAGTCACTGTCTCCTTCTCTCATGGGCCAAGGAGGGGCACCAGGGAGCTGGCAGTGCAGAGATGCCCGAGGGGCTGGGCTGGGGGGGCACGAAGCTCTCCTAGTGCTTTTGGCCAGACCGTCTGTTGGCACCGCCCTCATCCCCTATCCCTCTCACCGCAACCACCACGAGCCAATGCTCTGTTGCCCCCTTTTCACTCCCAGGGACAATAATCCCTCACTCGTCCACACACATGGATCAGGTCCCTTCTCTCCATACGGGGCCTGTGCCCCGTGCTAGAAACCCGACGACAGTGGCTTGAATCTGGCTCTGCCCTCAAGGAGCTTACAGCCAGATGTTCCAACAGTGATGATAAAAGCTGACAGGCCTCACAGCAGACGCAGGGAAAAGATGCTCAGAAAGCAGGGAAGAAGAGGACTCGTGGTCTCCCATACGTATGAATGAGTCTTACAGGGCAAGCAGAAGGGGCCAGAGAGGAAAAGAAAAGGCAGGCGTCCTCCGAGAGACGAGTCTACGCGCCAGTGCAGAGGCAGGAAGCAGAAGGGCGAGGCTGGAGCCCAGGGCCTGTGCTGGGGGCCGGGGGCTGGGGGCAGGAACCATCTGACCAACCAGGATGTGTCTGCCACTAAGTCAGTGTTCTGGAAGGGAGGACCCAGGACACGTCGGGGAGAAGGAGAGCAGGATAAGAGCGGAGAGCACAGAGGAAGTTGGTGTGGCTGCAGGTGACACAATGGGGTCAGGGGCCAAAGAGAAGGGCCCCAACCAGGGAGGCATTTCCAGGGCAGAAACAGCACCGCCTGGAGAGCTAACCAGGCAGCCGACGCGCCAATTCTGTTCAAAGGCCCAGCACCAGCTCCGTGCAGCACATCTGCTCAGGCCCGTGCGGGCCCCAGGACACAGCTAGCTGCAGAGCCGGCTGCACCCCCATTCTGTTCTCTCGCAGTCCCCGACGCTGCCTTGTCCCTTCGGAGCACGTTTCGCTGCCTGACCTCGCGTGATGAATACAGAATGGTCACTGCCTGCTGCACGGGAAGCAGGCCGGGCCTCTGCTAGTGGAGCACGGGGCTGCGACAGTGACAAGGCCCCGGGAAGAATCCCCTGTCCGAGGGAAGAAACAAACGGAGGCCTCCGAGGAGCTTGGAGCTCGGTTTGATGGAGGAGAAAAACCTGGAAACAGCAGCGGGCCTGTGCTGTGATGGGGGAACACAGGGGCCATGGGGCCCCACCCAGGGCACTGCAATGGGGCTAGCAGCGGGATGGGGGTCCTTAGAGGATGGCCAGACTCGAGAGAAACGGAGGGCAGGGGCACAAGGGAGACGCCTCACATACAAAAGCAGCCGCACCTACGGAGGCCCGGGCTACCGGCAGCCAGGCACAAGGGGGCGCTGTGAGGAGCTGCCCCGGGGGGGGGCAGGAGGGGCGCAGGGGGGCGCAGAGGGGCACGGAGGGCCGGGCAGGGCCCAGGGCAGAAGGAGCCCTCCAGGTAGAGATCCTGGGCAGGAAGTCCCTAAAGCCCGGGTCCCACCTGCGAGCATCCCTTCCACTCCACCCCCGGCTCCCTCTGGGGACACGGAGTCATGGCCCTGGTCCAATCACCAGGCTGCACATGGCAGGACTCACCACAACCACCTTCTTTTTGATCACCGGGCGACACCAGAAATGCTGATAGAGGAGCTGGTCTGAGTCCACCCAGACCAGGTTCTTGACGCCCTCGTGAGCGGCCAGCTCTGTGGTGTTCAGCTGCAGCACCAGGAACTGGAAGACGCGTCCGTCGGTGCCCACGCTCTGCACAACTACCGGCCGCTCCAAAACCTTAGCGTCCTTCTGAGAGGCAAAGGGGACAAGTAGAAACGGTGGGGTGTAAACAACAGCACAGAACAGGCAGGTTCGAGCTCCGGCCTCTGCAACTAACGCCTGCTCCCACGTAAGGCCCTCACCGCGGAGCGCTGGGGCCGGTTCAGGGCGCCGACCAGAGCGAGGCCGTCCCTCCCTCCCCCAGCCCGGCCCTGCCTGACCTGGCGCCTCCTGGTTAATAAGCGCCTTAAAGTAGCAATGCCTGCCGCCGGGGGTGACGGGGGTGACGGCTGGGCCAGTGGCAGAGCACAGGAAGGTGACGGGAGATCCCTAAACCCACGGCGCTACCTGATGGCGACAACAGTGACAGCAGTTCCATCAAGGGTTAACCTGGAGGCTCAGTGAACATAGCAGCGCACTCCCTGGCGCCCCGGACCGCCCGGCCCTGCGGGCCATCGCCCGGCCCTGCGGACCATCACCGGCGCTGCGCCTCAGGCTCCCGGCGTGGCCCAGAGAAGGCATCCGATTGCCGGCGTGTCCACCCCCCGCGTCAGCAGCGGGCTTTCAGCTGGCAGCGCACGAGCGGGTTCTCCCGCTCCGGGAGCGCCACTTGGTACCAATCACAGCAGCAAGCTCCTGCACGCCTCTCACGTGCCAGGCCTGGCGCCGGCTTTAGTCACCAGTAATCGCGCGGATCCAGCCGTCTAGTCCCACTTCACTGATGGGGAAACTGAGCTCCAGAGAGGTGCTATCATCGTGCAAGGCTGCCCACGAGACGTGAGCCAGGATCAGACCCCACGCTAGGAAATCACTGAAACCCCTCTCCTCGTGGCTGACACCTGGTGTCCCGCACGATGGAACAGTGGTGCCTCCTTTCACCCCCAGGGGCGTCCCAGGGTGGATGAGAAATGACATGCTCACCCCCCTGAGGCTCCGCAACAGTCCTGTCGGGTGATGGCCACCCGCTGGACGAAGATCCAGCAGGCAGGCCCCATGGAGCACAGCATCCTTGATCCAAAAATGCTGCCTACGTTCACCACTCCAGAGCGGAGTGTGACATCAGGAATAGCTAATGTCAGACCTCGGTGTGAGCCACACCGGGACTGTTGGCCTTAGAAATACCTGTTCTTAGCTGCATGAGAAATAAATAAAAAGAAAAGTACCTCTAAGTGTTAGCTGAGGATGCTGTATTGACTCTTATCTCCCTCTACAGATCAATAAAACTGCAGGTAGTACATAAATTTCTCAGCAATTTTATCTTTTACATGGAGGCTCTTCCCATAATTGCTCAACTTCACATCCCCAGGAATAATCTGTACCTGGAGGGGCTGGGAGAGGTCTCCCCTCCTACCCAACTAGGTGGCAATTAGCGGCAGTGTGGCTCCCCGTGCTCTGTTGGCAACAGTTGGCACAGAAGCTACGAGGAACCTGCAGACCTGGTCCCTGGCATGCGACCATGTCTGCTCCCTTTCCTTGCCCCAGAGTTGAGAGGCAGCACGTCTTTTGAGACTAGAGGGATCAGGGCTCCAACGCTTGCTTCCCCACTCAACAGCTGTGGGATCTTGGGCAAGTCACCTAAACTTCCAGAGCCTTCATGAGTATGTAGTCAAAGAATGGGAACAAAGATAACCTTCGAGGACTGGAAAGACACAAGAAGGTCACATAAAGATGTAACAGCTGCCAGTCTCTTAGCTGTGTGACATTGGGAAAGGTACTTGGCCTCCCTGAGCCTCAGTTTCTTCAGCTATAAAACGAGGCTAGGAGCATCTGCCATGGAGGGTTGCTACAAGGACTGAACAACGCAGTGGTTCTCCAACCTTAGTGCTGTGGTTCTCAACTGCGCTAACGCCAGCACCACCTGCAGGGCTTCCAACAACGCTGGCTACTTGGGCGCCACCCCCAGTTTCTGATGCACTAGAATTTATATTTCCAACAAGTTCCCAGATGATGCTCATGCAGCTAATCCAGGACCGTACTTTGGGAAACACTGACATAAAGAACCCTAATTAACTGTCTGGCAGGTAGCAAATGCTCAATATAGGCAAGGTCCATTCCACTCCCTACCTCCTTTGCCCAACCACACCTCTTCAACCCCACCTAGTTCCTAGACCGAGTAGGATGGGAAATAGGGGAAATAGAATTGTGGACACTCCTCCTGGAGGGCCTCAGACCTGGGAGCTGGCAGCTCTCAGCACTACGCACACGCATGTGCGCACACACACACACGCCCCGGGATCCAGTGTCCCAGGCCTGCTCGGGGAATCCCATACTGCCATTCCCTACTCCCTCCCCGGAGGCCTTTGCTCCCAGGCAAGCTTTCCCCCATTTCGGGGACAGGCTGAGTAGCCTGCATTCTACACCATCCAGGCCCTTGAGACCTCGTCTCAGAATCAAGGGGCTATCACCAGGTGGCACCTTGGTCCCCGAGCCTGTCCTCACTTGGCAGACAGGCCTGCATCGTCTCTGCCGCCTAACCTCCACCTGCCCATGGAGACTCGTGCCCCGGGTCTGCTCTCACGGAACGGAGGGGTGTACTAGAGCACAAATAACTGAAGCCTTAGGAGCGGGGCACGCCTCGTTCTCACCTTTCCTCCACCACTCGCTGCCATGTAATGCTGGACAAACTGCTTAGCCTCCCTTAGTTCAGGGCCCTAACTGGAAAATGGGGATGATAAAGAAAGCTCGTGGGCTATTTTGATGAACAAATGAGGTGTCTTATGTAAAAGACAGGAGGCAGGCACACAGGAGGCCCCAGCAGATGTCGGTTTATCTCCGTAGGGTGAGTGGAAGTGCCTGTCCATAGAACTCCTCAGTCAAGCAAGGAATCCCCCCTGTACCCCCCTTCTTTCTTTGAGCAGTGTAAGGCAGGAGGCCAACACCATGTAAAGTCGCTGAGTGGTCTTCCTCCCCATACATACCCCATAGAGGCGCCGGGCCTGAGCCAGGGCATTGCCAAAGGCAAACAGGATCATTTTGGCCCGCAGCTGATCTGGTTGAAAGCGGTGTGGTCGTAAATTGGCTGACTCCAGGAAATACAGGGTGTGGGGATAGGGGTAAGGATAACCCTCCTGGAATCCTGCAAGATACATAATCACATGGAGGAACAGAAAGGATTACCAGCCTGTCCCAAAGCCTTTGGAAAGTCATGTCACCTTGGCTCAGTGCAAGGCACCACCGAGACTCCGTAAAGGCAGATGTTATCACTGTGGCTCAGGAGGAAGGCAAACCAGTCTGCCAGCCACATCACCCCCCCAACCCCCCGACTGCTTTGGAAAATAAAGTTTTTACCAGCGCATAGCCATGCCCACTCACTGACACAATGTCTACAGAGTAGCTGTCAGAGACCATATGTGGCCTGCAAATACATTCTATTTGGCTCTTTACTGAAAATGTTGCCACCCTGTGCCAGGTGACTCCTGGGTGCTGGCTCTAATCTACCCCTTCTCGCTCATTCAAGCACACAGGTGACAGTGACGTTAGAAGGAAACCTGAACACTAGGGTAATTATTTTTTTAAAAGCCAATCATTTGCAAAATTCCATACTTTATTATTAGCAATAAACGACTCGCCTCATGCCTCACAAGTGATCTGCAAATACTGGCACTGAGGATCAAAGCTGAGCCCTTGTTCATCCCAGCCACCACCCTGCCAGGCCACCATTCTCGGCCCCTCCATGGCTAGCAGTAAACCCTTGGTAGGCTGGCAGCTTCCAGAATGAAGAACCTGGATTAGTGAAAGTGGGTGACAAGGAGGAAGCTGGGAAAACATGGGCTCTGAAAATCCCCGAAGCAAGCACTACTTGAGAGAGACGCCCTTCTGTGGGCCTCTGTCCTTGCTTCAGAGGTTCAGCACGCCCTGTGCGCCCAGCCTAAGACAGGCGCCGGGGCCAGACCGGGGCCAGACCGGGGCCAGACCGGGGCCAGGAGCAGAGGCCGAGGGCGGCCTGCCACTGCCTTGGAGGGGCTCAGTCTGGAGGGGTCCACACAGAGGGACATGTGAAGATCCGGGCGGGGTGAGTTGGGGGCTGGGGAAGCCCCAGATGAAAGGCCCCTGATGACAAGGGAAGACCCCAGAGCATTTCTGGGGAAGAAGTGATTCTGAAGATGCACTGTGACAGATGAACTACACGCGGGGGCAGGGGGGACAAAAAGGGGTGGACGGCCACAAACCCCAGGCAGAGGGGGGAGGGGACATACCAAAGCCTATGGTGAGAAAGGGCACGGTGTGTTATGTGTAGCTGGACTGGGGGGGGGGGGGGGGCGCGCCTGCAGGGGAGGAGACCAAGGTGAGGCTGGAGAAAGGGGCCAAGACCGGACCTGAAGGCCCTCATGTGATAGGCTGAGGACTTCCACCTGTACCTGATAGGCGCTGGGGAAGTAGGCGCAGAGAAAAGGGATGGAATTTGTTTCAGAAGGGTGCCTCTAGAACCAGGAACCAGATGGACCGAGAGAAAACAGACCAGGTCAGGCTGGCCAGCTAGCTGGGGGGTTGTGGCAACAGGCTGGGTCTGCTGGAAGCTGTTGCTTTGGAGATGAGGAGGTTAGAAGGAAGGCGCTACAACTCCTAGGGATGGGCTAGAGGACATGAGCCGTGGGCCCACCTGGCCTGATGCTCTGGTTTCTGTCATGGCAGCCAGGGGAGATGGTGGTGCCTTATTCGATGGAGTTGAGATGAATAGCCCCATTCAAGGCCTGTGGGGCTTCCTCAGTCCTAGCAGGCGGTTGGCCAGGGTTTACGGGTACATAGAAAGAGGGGTGTCTTTCAAGGGACCTGTGAATAAAGGAAACACTTGGGGCCTGGCCAGAAGCCCCCTCAGCCACCCGTAACAACTCTGAGATAACAGGGTTACCTCTCAGGGGTCAAAAGCAAAGTGGGGATAGGCTGCTACATGGCTCTTAGGAGAAAATGCGCGTCCCTCATCTCCACGCTGCCGGGAGATGCACGGCTGTGACACTTACCTGTGTTGTCTTCCACATCATAAACATTGCATTCCTGAAGATCAATAGTGGGAGATATGGGATAGAAGGTCTCAAGAACATGATTCTTAGTAGCTTCAACCTCCTCTTTGGAGGCGACGGCGGGCAGCGGATCCTTGGTGTTCAGTCGGGCTCCACTGGAACCACGGACCTGAAGGAGAAAAGACTCTAAAAGGGGAGAAAGACGATTAGTCTACCCTGGTCTAAAGCCTTACCTCTGCTCAGCCAAGCCTAGAGCCTTCATCCTGCCATGCTCCTCAAGTCTTACGGCTTTCCTAGCTGACCAGCATGACTGCAGAAAACAAGACTTTGGTCAAGATGTTGAGAAGGGGACCAACCAAAGCACTCTTCTTCCTGTGTTCCCTTGCCCATGGGCCCTGAGGCCACCTGGCAGTCTCTGTGGGTTCAGGGCTGCCCCACACAGATCTTCCCAAGCACCTGCTCTAAGCTGGGGACCCAGAAATGAGTGAGCATTACCCTCTGCTCCCAAGAAGCTTCCTAGGTAGTAAGTGCACACGAAGGCATGAACCGTACTCGGAGACAGTAGAGGTGGGGCAGACTGACCTCCTTTGGGAGGCCTGGGAAGCTTCCTGAAAGTGGTATGCCTTCAAACTAGTTTCCGGAGGATGGATAAGAGCAGAGTTTCTCAACCTTGGCTCTTTTTTCATTCTGGACTGGGTAATTCTTCGGTGAGGGAAACTGTCCTGTGCACTGCAGATGTCTGGCCGCATTCCTGGCCCCTACCCACCAGACGCCAGTAGAACTTCCCCCGTTCAAGTCATGACAATCAAAAACGTCTCCAGACCTTGCCAAATCTCCCTTAGGGGGCAAAACTGCCCTTGGTTGGTTGAGTTTGCCCAGGCAAGAAAAGGGAAGGAAAAACATTTCAGTTCAGGAGGAGGAACATGAGTGAAGGCACAGAAGTGTGCTCCCCCACGGCAGAGTTTAGGGAGACGAACCCAGGTGACTAGAAGCAGAATGTTGTAGGGAAGGCGGGAGGGAGGGAAGGAGGAGGAGACTAGAGGCTAAGAAGAAAGGTTATTAAACTCAGGAAAGGGGCCAAGCTGTCCTCAACAACCGACAGTAAAGAAAAACGAGGCCAGTCAGAAAGCCTCACCTAAGACAGATCCGTGTACTTGCTACACAGACGTAAGTTGATGAGGAAAGACACTCACACCTGACACATCAGCAAAGCTGCCACTGGGAGCATGTGCGCATGCCCCTCACAGAGGCCCCCACAGGAGGCTGCATGCCACCAGGCCAAATGTGCCTGAAAGGCTCCCTTGTGAATGGCCTCCTGAAGATTCTCCATGGAGGCAAATCTTCCTCTGAAGGTGCTTTGGGTGTTTAGAACCTGTCAAATCACAATGGGATGGTTAACGGGTCAAGGGTGATGATCCTTCTACTAGTTTGGTCCACAGCACTGTCATATAATTAGCATGTGGTCTCCCTCACTGGGTGTGTAAAGCAGGGATACTACATCTGTGGATAGATAAACTCTGAGCCGCTTGTTAAAATACATCATACCCACACCTCAAGAACAGTTTTCTAAAAGTATTTCCTGTTTCCTCACATATAATCTGCAAGGAAGATAAATGTGCCTGGACCTCTCCTAACCTTGGGTTTTAGATTCTCCCCACAGACCACTCTAGTGTGGTTTCCAATTCAATTCCCTCCATATCCCTCCTCCAGTGACAGCTCCAAATGGGGCAGTTTAATTAGAGGTAATAGCTGATGATGGGCCAACAAGTACTCCTCTATTAATGAGGTTCACTAATTTCCTTAGTGGTGCCATTACCTCTGCATGGCTGACTCCTTGCCAGGAAGTCCATACTCAAAAGGGGCAAGCTAGACAAATCTGACCAAGCAGATGTCCTGAAAATCCCAAATCATTCCACAGCCGGTTTCCCCGCTCCGGGATTCCACCAGTCAGAACACTGGTGTGCTCTGAACATCCCTGACGGAAACCCCTCAGGGTGGTAATCACCCCCCCGTCCCTCAGTCAGCACTGCTCACGTGCCAGGAACTGTTAGACGCTGTGCAGAAAAACGAGTGAGATGTGGTCCCTCCTGTCAGGGGTTCAGTTTAGTAGGTAGACAGAGAGGATATTAGAGAATTCCAATACAGTACAACATGCGCTCTGATCAAAATAGGAACGATGGGCAGAAGGAGCACTAGCTAATGTCTACATTCACATAGGAAGGGGGCTGGAGCTGAGCCTCACAGACAAGTAGAATTTAGCCAAACGAGGAAAGTAGAAAAAAGCATTCCAGACAGAACGTACAGCACAGCGCTAAAGGCATAAAAGCTTGATGCCAAAGAGCTGCTAGTGGCTAAAGTGTAAATTTAGCCTGGGGGTGTGGTGGGGGTGGGGGTAGGAAGGAGAGAAGACCAGAAAGGCCAGCTGGTGGCCAAACCAGTGGGTTGGATCCAATGATAAATGGTTTAAGTTCCTGGGAGGCAGTGAAGGATCTGAAACAGGGGAGGCAAGTGCACTTTAGAAAGATCACTCTAGCAGCTACGTGGAAAATGGATTTGGAAAAGGAGAAAAGCATGAATGGGATAAGAAGGCTCTTACAGTAGAGTAGGCAGAGACTGCCTGCCCTTTATTACTTATCTTCAACATTTAGGCACTCAAGGGTACTCAACAGATACAGTTGAATTAAGTCATGGGAAGAAGTGATTAAAAACAAAAAAAACTGAGGAGCATCTGGGGCTCAGTTGGTTAAGCGTCCTATTCTTGATTTCAGCTCAGGTCATGATGTCAGGGTTGTGGGATTAAGCCCCATATTGGGCTCCACACTAGGCATAGAGCCTGCTTAAGTTTCTCTCTCTCTCCCTCTGCCTCTCCCACCACCCCCTTAAAAAAAAAAAAAGAAAAAAAAGACCGGTCTGTGGCTAATGATAGGAGGATGTGTCTGATTCTACAAAAGTGGTCCACGAAGGAAGGAAACAAGCACAGGTATGGATGTGGTGATGGTGAGCTGGTAGTGGGGTTAAGAGTAGAAAGATAAAAAACAGACCAAGATGACCAACCTCGATTCCAGGTGGTGGATAACGTGTAGTTTTTGGCGCAGATCCGTTTGGCCAGAGAGGGATGCTTGAGAATCTGGGATCTACACAGCTGTATCAGACTGTCCACAATGACTGGGCTTGGAGGAAAGAAGAGACATTTGGAGACATAAGGCAAAAGGCTGACTCTAAGATCCACTGACTAGAAATCTTATTGACGTGGGGGAAACTTACCAGTAGGCCTCTCTCTTCGGGATGTCTTCAGTAGAGTGCCAGAGACGGGCGTGAGAGATCACGTTCAGAAGGCGTTCATCTTGGTTCTCTATGTAGTTCTCCGGATCAGCGGCGAGGCTAAGCACTTTCTCGGGAAGGCCTTCTATTAACTTGGCTTTGGTAAGCCAGAGGGCCTGCTTTACACCTTTGGGGTAATCAATCACAAAAAAAGAAGACAATTCAGTAAGAGTTGCTTAAGTCTGCCAGTAGCATCTTGGGGAAAGGTCTGCCTTGAGAGAAACAGGATTTGTACTGGGACATCTGAGGAGTCAGAACTAAAATAAGAGTGGAAGCCAGAACAGCCGGATTTCAGCTTGACTGCAGGAATGACTGTCTACCTGAGGATGGTCAACAGTTGCTTGAGGTAGTGAGTGCCTGCACAGGAGGGATTCAAACAGCAGCGAAGATGGCTGGGATCATAAGGCTGAATCTTGTGGGAAAAGGTCCCTCTGTTGCCTGCAAGATTCACACAGACTCCAGACTAGAGGACTAGATCAATGGATGCCAGCATTTCAAATCCTAGATCCCTTTATTAACCCACATCCAAGTCCCTGATTGGAAAAGCCCGTGTCTACCAAATAGATCCCACTTATTAGGAGTGGGCCAAGGATTAAGCCCATACTGCTGTATCAAGGGAAAACAGCTTTGGGAAATAATGGAAATAACTTATTGATCATGAGTAACTTGAGGGGCCCTGAGTTTGGGAGCACTTAAACAGATAATCTTTCGCATCTCACCTAACCCTGAGCTTCTATAATGAGCTACCTTTAAGCAGATTTTTATATGTAGAAGCCCTATGAAATGCACTGCTGTTATTTGTCGAAAGGATCCCCTGTTCTATTTATTACACAGGATCCTCCCTGGCCTCGGTACCAGAAGGTTGGGCTTTTCCCGGGATAGTACGGTTTTGTCTTATAGACACGGTGAACTGCATAACTGAAAACGTTCTTCCCTATACCAGGGGTCAACAAACTTTTCCCTAAAGGGCGAGATAATAAATATTTTCAGCTTCTGAGCCATACATTCTGTCACAGCTACTCATCTCTGCCACTGTAGCACTGAAAGCAGCCAGGGACTACAAGTAAACAAGTGGGTGTGGCTATGTTCTAATAAAACTATTTACAGAAACAGGCAACTGGTCTAGTCAGCTGACCCCGTCTCTATACCGTTAACAGGCTGAGAGCCATGTTTGGGGCTCCCCTTTAGCAAGCGGAACCTCACAGAATGGATTTTTTGTATTCACCTCACTGTTTTATTTCTCCTTTGTGTGGATTCCCTCACCTGTATGTTTTTAATTTAAAACAAAACATTTTATACTGTGCTATAAATTTCTGTTAAGATGCCTGAAATACTTTTCGGGAAAAGATGGAATATAAATAAACAAAAATAGATTTGATTCAGACTGCTTCGTTTTTAAACATTAAGGAATGACCACTACTCTGAGTGGGATGGCCTGTGATGCCAAGCACAAGTCCCTCGCTTCACCTTCCCCAGATCGGGCTTCCCTGAGGGAAGAACCGGCCCAGCCCTAGGGACCTAAGTTCTGCATCAAATCCACGTACCAGTCCCCTACCCTCAGGACAAGGTTAATACTGTATCTTGTCCATGATTGTAGTCACAAATTGACAGCAGTCTGGTGACTACTTTGGTTAGCAGGCTACTCCCGCCAGCTAGGAAAACACCACCGTTTCAGAGACGTATCTTCATTTGTAAAGCTATGCCTGGGATTAAACGGAGCCCAGGATACTCTGGGGGAGACACTCTCAGGCAATTTCCTTTGTGCTAATAAATGAAATGCTATGAGGGCAATGCGACTTTTCACTTTGAGGCTTATAGGACATGGGAAATACAAACATTTAGAAATGTAACTTCTGGATTTTATGGTGCAGCAGACAAAACCCTGGAGTCAGGTAACCTGAATTTTAGTTCTGACACTGCCACTGTTCTTTAAACTTTTTTTAAAAAATAGCACTTTCATGGGGCGCCTGGGTGGCTCAGTTGGTTAAGCGGCTGCCTTCGGCTCAGGTCATGATCCTGGAGTCCCTGGATCGAGTCCCGCATCGGGCTCCCTGATCGGCAGGGAGTCTGCTTCTCCCTCTGACCCTCCCCCCTCTCATGTGCTCTCTCTCATTCTCTCTCTCTCAAATAAATAAATAAAATCTTAAAAAAAAAAAATAGTTCTTTTTTTTTTTTTTTTTTTTTTAAGACCCCTGCTCCTGAGCAGGGAGCCTGACGTGGAACTCGATCCCAAGACCCAGGGATCATGACCTGAGCCGAAGGCAGACACGCTTATCCGACTGAGCCACCCTACTGTTCCTTAAACTTTACAGTGGATTAAAAAATTGAGATTTTATGATTCAATAGTATATGAATAATACCTAATCATTAGAGCTGCCATCTACTGAGCACCACCATCTATCCTGTGCCAGGAACTTTATCTACAAATCGGATTTTATGGAATGGAGGATGAAATTCAGAGACTAAAGAATTTGTTTCAAGTCACATACCCTCTAAGTGATGGTGGGGAAGAGAACTTGAGTCTGTCTACCCTAAAGCCTGGTAATGTTCCCAGGGTCACTCAAGGGTGGGGCACCTGGCTGACTCAATCAGTAGAGCACGGGACTCTTAATCTCAGGGTTGTGGGTTCAAGCCCCATACTGGGTGTGGAGCCTACTTAAATTAAAAAAAAAAAGGGGGGGTGCCAAGTCTTGTGAGGTCCGTTACAATACCCTGGTAGGGCAATGGGAATGTTTAGATGCTGGAAATTCAGCTTTCAGGAATGGGTTTGAGCGGCTTAAGAGGCTGGCCAGTTAAGTTTTTTTCAAATTTAGGATTTATTCTTTGGTTTAGTCCCCAAATCCTGCCAGGTCTCTTTCTTTCCTAATTACTCCTTGGAAAATACTACTCCCACTGACCTTGACCATTTTGTTTTCAGAACCTGCCCTATCCCCATCATTATGGGTGGGATGAACAGGCAAGAATAGGGAAAGGGACTCTCAATAAACAACACCCCCCCCCCCCCCCCCCCGCCCCATGGACTCTGGAAAGTAATTTCTGGTTCTGCTCTAGACAGACTGGTTTCGTTCAGCTCAGTCATTTTGATCTGTTCTTAGTGAAAAGGAGAGCAGAAATAGGCTAGATGGCTTTTAGGTCCAAAACCCTTCCTTGACAACATCTCAACTCTGACCTCTGACAGAGGACATTGACCTAGGAAACCAGATAGGTAGCCCTGGGTTCACTACTAACCCAGAGCACGTGTGGGCAAATCACGTCCCTCTCTGTCACATTCACCAATCCTGCGAAATGAGGCCATAGGCCAGGAGATTAAGCATGCTTTCTGCTGTCTCTTTCCACTATAAACTCCCTCCATCTAATTATTCAATGTACAGTTACATCTCCAGGGTATTAAGAGGTGGAAGAGTCAATATGGACTATCTAGTTAAAACCAATGAGTTCACAGAAAATGGAGGCTCTGGAAATTTCAGCCATTGCCCCAAATCACAGAGTTAGATGGAGGCAGGGGTAGGCCAGAAATCAGGTCTTTTCACTTCGCCACTCAACCTAATACTGCCTCACACAAGCACAGCCCTTCTCATCCCACTTAATTCTGAAACCCTCAGGGGTGCCTGCGTGGCTCAGTCGTTAAGCGTCTGCCTTCGGCTCAGGTCATGGTCTGGGATCCAGCCCCACATCCGGCTCCCTGCTCAGGGGGAAGCCTGCTTCTCCCTCTCCCACTCCCCCTGCTTGTGTTCCCTCTCTCGCTGTGTCTCTCTCTGTCAAATAAATAAGTAAAATCTTAAAAAAAAAAAATCCTGAAACCCTCAGAAGACGTAATCACTACCCATTTCGCAGACGAAGAAACCGAGACCCACAAAGTTTCAAGGCCACGGAGAGTTGGGGTCAGTGCTGGGCGGAGGAACGACGTCCCCTCCTGCCCGTCCTAGGGCCTCACCCTCGAGGAGGCGGCAACGCTGGTGGAAGACGTAGCAGGCCTGATCCTTGTACAGCGGCTGCTCGTGAACCGGGGTCGGGCGGCGGAACTTTGGGTGCGTCCAACCGGGGTCCCAGGGCGGGAAGACCGGCCGCGCCAGCCCGGGCATGAAGTGCATCTTCCCCGCGTACGTGATGGGCTCCAGTCCAGGGATCTCGTACACCCTGTCCAGGGGACGAGGCTCGGGCTTCCGCGTGGAGCGCACGCCCCACTCGTACGCCCCGCGTCTCGGAGCCCCGCAGTCCCCAAAGCCGAGGCGCCCAGGGCGAACCAGTGCCCGCCTCGCGGGCCCCGACGTCAACGCCATACCAACTTGGTTCCCCGCTCAAGACCTCCACCAGGACGCCGCCATGTTCCCGCGCGCAAGGCCTGCTGGAAGCGAAAGGGGCTGGGCGCCAAGGCTCGTTTTATGAGTGGCAGTCACTTCAACCAATCATATTCAAGACATATTTGCCTTGCCCCACCCCGCCGGCTATTTTCATTTTCTCATAGGTGAGACCCCGCTGGGCACTTCCCGCCTCCCGGGGTGGGGGCGGCACCTGGAGGAACATCGCTCGAGGGGAGGCGCAGGTGTGTAGGTGAGTGGTCTTGATAGATGCTGGGATAGGACCAGGGGTAGAATACCAGTACTTCAAACCTGAATTTAGGGCAACCTTGACCAGTTACAAGCAGCTGAAGCTTGGGCAGGGCACTTCCGTCTGAGCCCCAATGTCCCTCACTGTAAAAATGGGTTAGAAATGCGTAAGTTAGCGTGCCTGCACAGCGCCCGGCCCGTAGTGGATGCACTGAAGTTTCTTGCCTCAAGTCCCACTTCTCACTGCTGCGGAGCCTTGACCGCTGCCCCTCCCCGAGCCCGAGAGTGGCCCTGCCCACCACACCAGCGCTGCATCGACTGCGCGCTCCTTTCCCAGCATCAAGAGAGAGCTAGTTTCCTCCCTTTTCTTCGGTGTTTCCCTTTCTGCCTCCTAGAAGCAAGGCCTGAGCTATGGAGGTGTGCTTTGCTCCTTGCGCCAACACCAGTTTATCAAACGCTTGCAGTGTGTCAGTCGCTGTGGTGAGCATTGGGTTTGCGTTGGTGAATAAAATAGCTATGGAATGTAGAGCGTATGGGCAGAAAGCAAGTAAAGTCAATAAATAAGCAATTGGAATACGCACATGTATTTCCTATTTCTTTTCCCCAGTTGTTTTTCTTTTTAGCACTTAACACTAAATGTCGCGTTTTCCATTTTGATCTTGTCTAATGACTGTCTCTTCCACCAGAATGTAAACTCTATGAGTGCAGGGGGTTTTGCTTCCTCACTGCTCTATCCCTTGCACCTAGAACAGTGCCTAGCACTAGTAAATATATGCTAAATGAATCAATACACAACAGAAATAAATAGAGTACTTGATAGAGAATGAGAAAGGGGAGGTTCAGGGTGGGTCTCTGAGAGGAAGTGACCTTTAAGGAAGGCCTGAAGGGTGGGGAGAGTCATCCCACCAGAGACAACAGCATGTGTCAAGACCTGGCTTAAAGGTAGTGCTTCTTAGACTGAAGAGGTGGAGGATAGGAGGAGGCAGAAATCAGGTCTTTAAAGTTCATGACAGACTTGGCCAACTTCCCTGCCAATTTCCAATATACCAAAGAAAGTAGGGTAATTAAGACACGGAGAAGGTAAGTTTAAGGCAAATACTGATAGGAATAACCCTCATGCTGTCTTGCAATTTACAATTAACAGAGCTTTCCTTTCTCTCACTTATCTTGCAAAAACTTCAGGAGTAAAAAAAGCATAAAGAGGGCTCCAGACTTCCTTCACTCACCATACATACCTGGTCCATAGCACAAAATAAAAATGGGTTGAATTGATAGAACACCATGCTAGGCTGCAAGCTCTATAAAAGTAGAGAGCCCATGTCCTATTTATGTCTTGTGTCCCAGCACCTAACACCGTGCCTGGCTCTCAGACCTTATCTATAAACTGAATAAGCACTCACCATTCACTGGAGCCTTCCACATGCCAGGCTTGTGCTTGGTGGTAGAATACAGAAAGAATAAGACATCATCCTTGCCTTCAAGGGGGTTGCAGCCTGCTAAACCTTCCTGAAGTCATAGAGCTCATGAACAGTAGAACCAAGTTTTCTGAAACCAAAATCTTTCTTGTATAAGAGAAAGATGTATTGCACACAGAGGGACTGCCCTTCTAAAACCAAGTGGTAAGAGGATTTGGACAAGTTCTGATCAGAAGGAGCCTGGGGCACCAGGCAAGGACACTGGATTCGAGCCAGGAGGCAACTGAGGAGCTGTTAAAGGTTGCTAAGCGGGAGACTGGTGTGATCAGAGCTGGTGGCAGGTGTGCTGATGGATGGTGTCGGGAGAGACTGGAAACATCCTCTGGGACCATGGGAAGCTCCAGTGTAAATGGACATGGGAAGCAGGAAAAGTAGAAAAGGTCTTAAAGGTTAGGAATCATGGGAAGTGATTGGTAACCGAGAAACGGGACCTCTCTGTCTTGTAGGAGTTAGGTGACCTTGGGTAAGTTATTAACGCCCCCCACCCCAACCCCAGTTTTCCCATTTAAAAAATGACATCTCTAGTACCAGCCTCATTATAAAGATTAAATGAAATGCAGCAATTTGATGGGTGACTTACCTGAATGAAAGAAAACAGATACAAGGGGCGCCCGGGTGGCTTAGTTGGTTAAGCATCTGCTTTGGGCTCAGGTCATGATCCCAGGGTCCTGGGATCGAGTCCCGCATCGGGCTCCCTGCTCAGCAGGGAGTCTGCTTCTTCCTCTGTCCCTCACCCCACTCATGCTCGATCTCTCTCTCTCTCTCACAAAAATAAATAAAAAATCTAAAAAAAAAAAACTATTTAAAAAGGAAATGATTCTGTTGACGTAAAGGTAAAAACTGGGCAAAGCTGAACTATAGTGGTTAAGTTTGTATGCAAAGGTGGCAAAACTAAGGAAAAGCAAGGGAGTGGTTATACCAAAGGTCAGGATGATGGTTACTTTGTGGGGGATGGGAGGTGATTAGGAAGGGACACGTATATGGGGCTTTTGGGTCGCTAGCCAGGTTCTTTGTACTTTACTATGTGGTAGTTACAAAGGTGTTCCTTTCTAACATTTTAACTTATTTTTGAGTAGTTTTGATAATTATTAAATTGTACGTAACTGTTGTATTTTATCGCTTAAAATATTTTTAAATTCAGTGAGCTTTTCTATGTGAAGTGCTTAATCCAGCACTCGAAGCACAGGAAGAAGTCAGGAAACTTCAGGCACCAGCTCTGTGATCGTTGTGCCCTGTCTGCCTGCCTCCCCTGCCAGGCAGCGGGTCTCAGGGTTGATTCATCCCTGACCCAGTGCTCACACGGAGTTTGGCACCTGCAGGCCTCAGGGAGAATGGGAGCAATCGAGGTTGACCAGAGTGTAACCCACATGTTTTCCCTCTCTCAGGCCAATGAGGGAGGGCCTGGGCCCAGGGCCTCACGGAGTCAGACCTGTTCTGGGAAGAGCACCAAGTTGTCCCTCCCAAGCTGGTCAAGCCCCACTGATGATGGATGAGAGGGAGGAGGATGCCGATGAGGAAGCCTGGCTGCAGCTTCGGCCGGTGGAGCCCTTGCCCTCCCAATGCTGTGGCAGTGGCTGCTCACCTTGCGTGTTTGACCTCTATCACCGGGAGCTGGCAAGGTGGGAGGCAGCCCGAGCCAGCAAGGACAGGAGCCTGCTCAGTGGGGAGGAGTCCCAGGTGAGGGAGGGCTGCTCCTCAGACAAGAGGGGTCGGGGTGGCAGTGTCAGCCTGGCCCCTGCCCTGCACAGTGACTCTGCACGGGAGAGAGGTCCAGGTTCAAAGCCTGACCCAGAGCTGGGCGTGGGGTCATGCCAGGAGTGAATGAGGTTTGGGCATTTTACAGGAGAGAGATCTGTGAGTCATGACGTTCAGAGAAGGCTTCCTGGAGGAGGTGCAGGTGGGTGGAATGTTAAAGGCAGTGGGCTGAGACTTAGAAGACGTGAATCTGAATTTCTGCTCAGGGTGTGACCTTGGACAAGTAAGCCACTACCACTCAGGCCTCAGTTTCCCCACATGGAAAACAAGGATATTGGATTAGAGCATCTTAAGGTCCCATCAATTTCTAAATTCTGCAGATCTGGATTTTTAGCAGGTTTGAAGGATGAGTAGGTATTTCATACATTGGAGATGAGTGTTCTGGATAAAGGGCACAGCTCGAGCAAATAAAGACTCCCAGATAGGAAGCAGCAGGGTATTCTTGGGAGAACAGAGAAAAGTTTGGCATCTGATGCCTGGGAGAGAAAATGAGGCTTGAGGTTTGTCCACGGGGCCCTGCAGTGTCCAGCCAAGGAGGCTGCACGTTATCCTGGGGCTGAAGGAGCTGCGGAAGGCTTTTGAGAAGGGGGAGATGAGTCTGAAAACCTCGGGCCTTCTTAGATCAGAGCATGAAAGGGAGGTGAGGTGGGACTGCTCTCTATTACAGGGAAAACTTTCCCACAGAGATAGATAGCCTGTCGGGGGTGGGGAGCGAGAAAGGTGCTTGTGGCTGCTTGGGTGCCTGTCGTGCCCCAGGTCCTAGCTGTTGGGTATTTTCCTGTTGCAGAGCTGCCCGTCCAAGCTGAGCCCAGAGACCTTCCTGGCCTTCTGCATCAGTGCCGTGGACAGACTCACCGAGGACACTTACCATGTTCGGTTTGCACTACCCAGGAACTGCCAGTTCAGCCTGCGGCCTGGCCAGCACCTCATCCTACGGTACACTCAGGGAGTGGGAGGCCAAAGATTTGCAGCCCCGCTTTGCCATTTGCTTGCTGTGTGGCCAAGGACAACTTGCTTAGCCTCCCCTAAGCCTCCATTTATCACCTTTAAGATAAACGTAGAGCTACCTCACTCAGAGGATTCTGGAATTGTGTTTTCATAACAACCAACAGCAGCAACAGTAACAGCAAACACTTTCGTGGCATTTTCTCTCCAATGCACAGTTCTGCGTGCTCACACCTAGGAACTCACTGAATCCTCACAAAACCCTGTATGTAGGTACCGTTATTATTCACAAGAGGAAACTGAAGTCAGCGAGGTTCAGTAACTTACCCAAGGTCACACAGTTAGGAAATGGCGGAGCCACGATTTGAAGGCCAGCAATCTGGCTCTAGAGTCTGTGGTATTAATCTAATATTAGTGCCAGTTGAGAGGAAGGACACTTGTCCTCAAGAATAAGGGACTTGCCAAAGATCACACAGTTAATAAGTTCTGCAGCCAGACTTCAAACCCAGACAGCCTGGCTCCCCAGCTACACTCTACCACTCTTCTGAAGGTCCTTCCTCTTCCCAGCCTCCGGCTACCCTCTCCCCCAACCTTAATCCCCTCCCCCTGCACCACCCCCCGCAACCTGCTCAGGGACAAGGCCCTTTGGGAACTGCAGGTGGAGGCATCTGCTAGATGGTTGACTCTGGGTGTGAGGCTCAGCAGAGAGAGATGAGCTCTAGATGTGAGTGTGGGAGTCATCAGCCGGCACCTGGATGCCATTTGGGGGCATATGTGGTATGGAAAGAGGGAAGGACAGAGGACTGAACCCTGGCCAACTCCAGCGTTTGTGGTATTGGCAAGAAGGGGAGGAGCCAGAAAGCGGGCAGAGGACGAGGAGAGTGTGTTGCTGCTGGTCACACTGTAGCCACTTGCCTCATGCCAACCGCTGGTGTTGGTGCACAGTGTGCCCAGCCTGTGGCCTGGCTGGCTGTCGTGAAAGCTCACTAATCCGGTGGCTCCAGGGCAAGTCACAGCCCCATGCAACCCTCCATCCATAAGTCGGATGCCCAGCACTCCCTGCCCTTAGCTCCTCTCCTCCACCCTCTCTGCTGCCCCAGCGACATTCCTAACACATGGAGCTAACCATGTCGTTCCCTTCTGGTGAGCCAAGGAGGCTCCCAAGGCTCCAGCTTCCTTTCCCACCGAGTTCTCCTTGCTCCTCCCTCACATTTGCGCCTTGCCCCAGCCTCGTGACCCACTCACCGGTTCCTGGCCTGCTCTGCATTTCCTGCCTCTGAGCTTTTGCCCAGGCTGTGCCCTCTGCCTGGAATTCCTTCCTGTCCTGTCCCCACTTCCACCTGTTGGTGGCCTGCCTCTTTCATACCCAGGAGGGTAGCAAAAGCTCCAGGAGGCCTCCTGAAGCTCCCCGGATGAGAGTGGTCCCTCCGTCTGGAGCATGTCCGTGTTTACCTCTGTGACAGCAGAGGTCACGGTGCTCTTTGCATCCATGCCACGCCACAGGTTGTGTTTATTATTTCCTTGTTTGTCCCCTAAGCACTTCTTGACTATTTCAGTCTAGCTTCCCACTTTTGATGCATTAGGATGGGACCTTTTATTTTTTATTATTTTTTTAAAGGTTTATTTATTTATTTGAGAGAGTGCACATGCGTGACGGGGGGGGGGGAGGGACAGAGGGTGAGAATCTCAAGCAGAGTCCAAATCGCTCATGACCTGAGTGAGCCAGTCATGACCTGAGCCAAAACCAAGAGTTGGACGCTTAACCAACTGAGCCTTCCAGGCGCCTCAGGATGGGGCCTTTTTAATCTTTCCACATGTCCAAGAAGAAAGTTTTGCACACAGTAGGACTCAAAAGAGGAATGCTTGGGTGCTCCTGGGAAGCTCTGAGGTGTTGTGTGAGGAACCCGGCTCTGGAGTCAGAGCTAAGGATGAATTTTAGCTGTATGACCTCTGGCAAGTAACATCCTAAGCCTTGGTTTCCTCATGTGGGTTATTGGGGTTTTTGAGGGTTTTTTGTTTGTTTTTTTTATGATTTTATTTATTTATTTGAGAAAGAGAGAGAGAGAGAGTGTGCATGCTCCCAAGCTGGGGGAGGGGCAGGGGGAGAGGGAGAAGCGGGATCCCCACTGAACAGGGAGTGGGACTCCATCCCAGGACCCTAGGGTCACAACCCGAGCGGAAGGCAGACACTCAACCAACTGAGCCACCCAGGCGCCCCTGGGTTGTTATTTGTTAAATGAGATAATGTGCACGATATGCTTGCTGCATAGTAGTCATTTAATACAACATGGCTGCTACTATTATTACTTGTGATTATCATCCTGGCCCTATTGTTGATAACATCGTAGAGAGGATTCATGCATGAGGTCAGGCTTTGGACTAGGGCACCTTTGAGGGTCCTTCTAATTCTGACACTCCTGGTACATGGTAGTAAGTGTTTTAATACACGTTAACAGTCTTTATCTTTCTCATTCCGTGGTCAAGAAGAGGTCAGGAAACACCATAGTGATGTCCTAAAAACAGCTGACATCATCAATGGACTCTTTGAAGACTTTCCCATCTGTGATCCCAGTAGAACCACACTACAGGGACACACATTGTTGTTCCCACTTTATAGAGGGGCAACTAAGGGATCAGTGACCTGCCTGGGTCTCACAGCCAGCAGGTGGCAGTGGGGGAGCCCAGTGCCCCTTTCCTCTGCTCCACCTTCAGAGAGGACCACTGGGGATGACCAGGCCCCAGTTCTCACCAGCCTGGCATATTGTTGAATGCCTGGCTGACTGCCTGACCATATACTTCTCTTTCCCAGAGGGAAGGTGGATGGCTTAGAAATTCAGAGAGCCTATACGCCCATCAGCCCTGCCAACGCAGAAGGATACTTTGAAGTTTTAATCAAGGTGAGCTCACCCACGCGGGTGCCCTTAAGATGGTATGGACTGGCCTCCGTTTGGCAGCTGGGTCAGGATGGGGTGGTGCCCAGCCATATGGGAAAAGCCAGGGTTCACATGGGAGGAGGCTGGCTTGAGGAAAGAGCAGGGAGAGTAAAGGAAGCCTTCTCCCATCTCCTTCTTTCCCAGGGTAGTAGGGGGGGCTGCCACCTGAGACCCCAACAGACACCAATTTTAGGAAAAGGAGGCTCAGACTGAGAAAGGTTATGCTGTTCCCTCACGCTTTCGCAGCTATTCATGGAGAGAGAGCCCCGGGCCCCGGGGAAGGGGCAGCCAGGTCGCCTGGTCCCTGCTGTGCACTGGTTGCTGGGCTCCAGAGAGGAGTCAGATACAGTGCCCACCCTTGGACAGGGGGCCAGACCAGGGCAGGGCAGGACGATGGGATAGATGCCGTGACAGGAGGCCCCAACCCAGTTCAGGGCAGCTGGGGTGCAGGGAAGGCAGCAGGCCTTCCTAGCAGAAGCTGAGTTTGAGCTGCGTGTTGAAGTGAAGGAGTGGAGAACCAGGAGGGAAGGGTGGGGACAAAGCTCTCTGTGGCGGGAATAGCATGCACAGTGGCAAAGGAGGCACAGCTGGGAGAGCTGTTAGTCGCTTGTCCCGGAATAGAAGGGGGTGAGCAGGCAGAAGGTGGGGCGTGGAGCGCCTTGTGAACGGAACTACCCTGAGCCCATTCTCAGGGAGTAGACAAGGGCCGGGGCATTGGAGCTGGGCCTTGAAGAAGGAATACAAATTGACAGTGGCAGGGAGTGGAATTCCAGGCCTCAGCCTGGACAGATGACCAAAGGCAAGGAGGGGCAAGACAGGGTCTATGGGAGCTGTACCCAGTCTGACGGGCAGGAGGAGGGGTGCTCGTGGGGGCAGCCAAGGTGGGTGGGGTCCTTGGCAGAGATGAGATGAACAAATGGCCTGGGTACAAATCCCCCCCAACCCCCCCAGGACCCAAGGACTCGGCACTGGATGTATAAGAGGTCTTGAAGATCCAATTATGTGGAAAAAATAATTAGGTTGAAGTACATGAAACTTCTGATACTCTAACATGTTTGACTTACAGAAACAGTGGTTTCATACAGGTCAACCTAATATATAGTCGACATTGTTATTTCCCAAACAGAATTCTAGGGAACACTGATATTTAAGAATAGCTTTCCCATCGTTTATCACCCTTGTAGGATGGGAATTATTATTCTCCTTGCATTGATAAGCAAACTGAGACCCCAGGAGGCCCCAGGCTCCACAGGGAGTAAGAAGTGTGGCCGGTGAGTGAGCCTGGCCTCCTGACTCCAGGCCCCAAGCACTGTCTTGGCTCCTGCCTTCCCTGACTGCCGTCAAAGCCCGAGTGTTTATTCCCTCACACAGAAGCTTGGATGGGGTCCCTTCTCCACGCAACTGTTTGTCTGGGAGATCCCACAAATCCTCTCCAAATGGCCTGCTTCCCCAAGCTGCTTGTCTGGGTGTGTTTCTGTTGAAAGGATAAGCCTGGAGACAGTTCTTCAGGGCAGCTGGAGCTCTCCCAGCTGCAAGGCTGATTTTCTCCTTCGTTTACCGGAAAGCCTCTCTTTAGAGAGATGCTTAATTATCCCTAAGCCGCTGGCTGGGAAGAGCTGGAAATGTCTTTGCAAATTGGGAAGGCAGGCGGGTTTTTTAGGTTTCCCTCCCATGTGGGATGAGAGGGAGGAACTCCCATTTCTCAGGCACCTTCTGGGCACCACGCACTCTTTCCAGCTCTTCATATTCATCATCTCGTTTCAACCTCATAACCTCATAACCATCCTGCAGAGTAGATCATATTATCCCACTTTACAGATAAAGAAACTGAAGCTCAGAGTGATGATGTCACTGCCCCAAGGCCCCTTGGGTAAAGTGATCCCACGCGGGAGAACAGAAGTTCAGTGTCAGCTCTGTTTAACAAGTGTGTATTAAGCAGGCTCCATGTGGGTGCTGGAGACACAAAAGAATCCTTCCTTTCTCCTTGAGTGCTATCTGTGCCACAGGGCCACTCAAGCCACAGCTGGGGCTGGGCCTCCCCCCAAGACTGGGGCCAGAAAACAGGTGTGCTCGGAGACAAGCCTCCAGCAAGTTAGGAGGAGAACTGTAACCTCCCACCCAGACTTCTTGCAGGAGGACTGAGGACTTCCCTTGCTTTATGCATATGGTACCCAACAAAGTCAGAGCTGCTACCAGAGGTAGCTGTGGGTACTTAAAAGCATGTCTGGTGACCAAAGCCCAGGCTCCTTCAAACTTGATTATATTCTCACTCCAGACACCCTTCCAGTCTTATCAGAGCTTCCCCCTCCCCCTCACATTCTTGTGTCTTGGGTTGTCCTACCTTGACCATACCACACTTGATGCCCAGAACCCTCTTTGCCTTCCTGCTCCTATCCCTAGTGAATGCAATCTTCTTTTTTTTTTTAAAGATTTTATTTGTTTATCTGTCAGAGTGAGCACACAAGCAGGGGGAGCAGCAGAGGCAGAGGGAGAAGCAGGCTCCCCACTGAGCAAGGAGCCCGATGAGGGACTTGATCCCAGGACCCTGGGATCATGACCTGAGCCGAAGGTAGACACTGAGGTGTCCCTAGTGAATCCAATCTTGCCTAACCTACAAGATCCAGCTCAAATGCCGCCTCCTCCAGGAAGCCATCCTTGATCCTACTCCATTGGAAGTGACTGTACCTCCTCAGGGTTCTTTCAGCATTCTGTCCTTTTCATGGGGTATTAGGTAGTCTCTACCTTGAAGGTATGAGACTTTGATCGCTCCTAGTTTGTGAGCTCCTTGAGGAGAGGTCTTGAACCTGGATTGATTGATTGATTCATTCATTCATTCATTCATTCATTGAGATATTTATAAGTCTTTCCCAAGGTGCAGGCACTGGCTGCCTTCATGGAGCTTAAGGTCTAGCTGTCTTCCCTGCAGCCCCAGCATGGTGCCTGGCCCAGAGTGGGCAGGCCTGCAGGAAATGTGGACTGCCCACCCCCATGAAGGAATCCCCTCCACAACCTTTACTTTTTTCAGCCAGCCAGGGGACAGTGACAGGTAACCCAGAGGTTGCAAATGAGTAGCCTGCAAACTGATTGCAGCACAGAAATATATTTGGTTTGGGCCTACACAGTGTTTTAAAATTTAGAATTAATTTCTGACATTTCAAAGATGGGAGATTTTACATGAAAATTTGGATCTCCTGCCCCTCTTAGAGAATCAGAAGATAGGGCATCATCAGCCCCACAAACTACATCCCAGAATCTGCAAAGCGGCTCCTCCTTTAGAAGGAGCATTCATGTACTCACCAGTTTACCACAGTCCCCACCACCCCCTGTTGTCTCCCTGATACTGAGAGTGAGTGTCAATTGCCATTAATCATCTCGTACCCAGTTTTTTACTCAGTGTGATGTGACGTGCAGGGCCCCTATAGTCGTGTGGGTCTGAGACCTCTGAAGGTAAGGCTGTCGGTGTGTGGTTCTTATCCCAGTCTCACCATTTCCCTTCTGGAGAAGCTTCTGGACCTCATCTGAACATTGCAAATGACAGTCCCAGCTCTGGGGTGACTAGGACGATGCTCTGAGATAGCACCTGCCAGGTGCTCGGCCTGCCGGCAGGGCTGCACATCAATGGCTGACATGGTTTGTATTGGCAGCGTGTACGTGTTCCAGTGAGGTCTCCCTGTGTTTGCTCCCAGTGCTACCCGACTGGGCTGATGTCCCGGTACGTCAAGTCCTGGGGCACAGGACACACAGCTTTCTGGCGAGGACCTTTCGGCGATTTCTTCTATAAAGCAAACCAGGTCAGTGCCAGCACACTAGGCTCTCGGGAGACGCCTCCTGCCTGAGCCTCCAGGACCATGGTTTCCATGTGTCATCAGGCTGTAGAATTGCACTGGTGCCATTCCTCCTGAGCCCAAGCCCAATCCCAGGAGCTTCTTTGGGGTTGGACATGGGAGGAGACGGAATGGGCACTAAGAAACAAAACTGCCTGCATATGCTCTAGAACTATCCGGGGTGGCCCATTGCTTAGAAAATCCACACTCACGTACTTGGTACTCAGGACACCTATGCCGTCAGACCCTCTGCTTATCTTTCCACCTTTACATTCTAGCTACAAAACCATGGAGACCACTCTCTTAAATACACGCCATAGCTCTCTGCTCGGGAGCCCACTGCTCCCCAGCCCGAAGGCTCTTCCCCTCATCCTCCTGGCATGTTCATCTCCTTCCCTGATGTGCCTGGGAAGAATTAGCAACTTCTCATCAGTTGGTGCATATCTGGATGGCAGCTTGGCAGTGTGTACCAAGAGTCTTAAGAATCTCCAAATCCTGTGACCCAGTAATTCCGCTCCTGGAAGGCTGTCTTATGGAAAGCATCCAAATGCTGCCTCTTGTGCACATGTTCGTGGAGGCTTTACTTGTAATAGCAGGAAATTGGAGGAAACTGAATATCCAGCCGCAGGGGAACAGTTAAGTGCACTGGGTTACAGGTACTTGATAGAATATTATCCTGGATTTTAAAATTATGTTTATAAATGATGTTATATGCTTATGCTGTAAGCATATAACAAAACTGAATATACAACAGGTTGGGAAACCAAGTTTAAATGCACAGAAAATATATGAAAAGAAAATGCAATGCGGGCGCCTGGGTGTCTCAGTCGTTAAGCGTCTGCCTTCGGCTCAGGTCATGATCCCAGGGTCCTGGGACCGAGTCCCACATTGGGCTCCCTGCCCGGTAGGGAGTCTCCTTCTCCCTCTCCCACTCCCCCTGCTTGTGTTCCTGCTCTCGCTATCTCTCTCTCTGTCAAATAAATAAAATCTTAAAAAAAAAAAAAAAAAAAAAAGAAAATGCAATGCAATGTCAGTGGCTCTGGGTGGTAGAATTATGGGTGATTTTTGTTTTCTTCATTATACCTTCCAAGTCATCCACAATGAGCACCTATTACTTTTATAATTAGGAAACAAAGCAAAAGAAAAGCAAATGAAAAAGAATGAATCATTCCTTTCTCCCCATTATTTTTGTTTAATATAAAAATAGTTTTATTGGTTTTTTCCTTATTACAAATACGGTACATTTACATTACCAAAAAAAAAAAAAATCAGATTTAGAGAGGCAAAAGAAGAAATGAAAGCACACGTGTAGGCCATCTACCCAGTGCTCCCAGTCCTACCCGACTGGGCTGATGTCCCGGTACGTCAAGTCCTGGGGCACAGGACACACAGCTTTCTGGTAAGGACCTTTTGGTGACACCAGTCTCACTGCCTTGGCAGAGAACTTTCCAGCTCCCCTTCCACACACAGGTGAGACACCCGTGTACACACCCATGGACATGTGTGTAACAATGCACGCACCCACCACCATACTATTGTTACACTATGAGACACGTGTGTGGTGCTGCGTACCTGGGCCAGGCTCTGATGTTCACACTTGCCAAGCTAAAATTTTATTTTCTCCTCACCACAGCTCTTGGGTCTGCTACCCCTGCTTTACAGACGTGTAGGGTGTGTAGGTTGTAATACTCTTCAGCAGCGTGCTCCTAATGTCAACCTTGCTTAGGCTTGCATTTTAGCTGAGGGTGTCCCCGTGTCCCCCAGGCCCTTGAGAGCAGGGACCGAATTGTCCCTGTTTCCCCCTGACCTAGAGGGGACACCTGATGCACATTGTCTTGACTGCCCCTTCTGGGTGGGGCCTCCCTGCATCCACAGAACCCCCCCTGCAGAGCCCCTGCATTTCCCATCCCGGGAGGTTGTAGGGCCAGGCAGTGAGGGAGAAGAGATGGCATCTCACACAGAAACATTTGGCTGCTGGGACGGGCTGAGGCGTGGTTCTGCGCAGGGCTGCTCTGGCCCTCTCCCTGGCCCTGTTTTGCTGCTCTGCAGGCGTCTTCATTGTAGATGGATTTTGTGGCTGCCGTGAGGCTGGCGTGTGAGCATCTGTGCGTTCCTTCCAGACATTCGCAGGTCTCCATGTGGGGCCACACATGGGGCGGACAAGGCCCTGTCCTCCAGAAGCTCACCGTGTGATGGGGGACAGACGCCCACACAAATGGTAGCAATACGGCGTGACCGGTGTCGTGAGGAGGGGGCACAGAGGACTGTGGGGATGCAGAGGAAGGACCCCTCACATGCTATTGGCTCGGGGAAGACTGTCCAGAAGAGACTGCAAGTGGTGGTGGGAGAAAGAGGAGGAGCGCGCACATTGGGGACCAGGAGGCTGGGGACACGCACACAGGACAGGGTGTTGCAGCCAGCAGCAGGGCTCAGTGAGGGAAGGAGTCGAACTGTGTGGAGCACCAGGATTCGCACCATGCATCTTGATGGCATCTCGTTTAATCCCCACGACAATTCTGAGGCACATTGGGGGAGGGGCTGTTATTTTTTTTACCCGTGAGGAAACCAAGGCTCAGAGAAGTGAAAGCACTTGGGCAGATCATATGGCTGAAGATTTAGACCCAGGTCTGCATGACTGATACTCGAGGAAGTATTTCCTGCAGGCGTGTGACACACATTAGCTGTCAATAAAGCTAGTGGAAACCTGGACTGCATTCTCAGAGGCCTAATCTCTAGAATGAAGGAGGTGGACTACCTTGCTGCGTAGGGCAGGCACTACCCTTTAAAGCACTGACCTTAAAGATCACACCTCTTAAAGAGACCTAGAGCCAGGAGATGGCTTCGTGGATTCAGTGATGGGTTGATGGAATTGGAGCCTCTTGGGGAAGAAATTCACTTTCATTGCATGGTTCTTCTGTGCCAGCACTGTGTTGGGCACTTATGTATAGTATCTCAGTCTGGAGAAGAGCAGGCTCAGGGATCCATGCCAGGGCCCTCAGATCTCTACAGGGCTGCCCTGAGGCAGAGAAGGCAGCCCAGAGGGCAGAGCTGGGATAGGGGTGGTGGACTAGGCTTTGGCGGGAGCAGGTTTCAGTGTGAGGTGGAAGACCTCTCTGGCAAGGGGGGTCAGCCTATAACGGAGCAAACTGCTTTGGGAGGTAGTGGGCTCCCTGTCAAGAGAAGTGTGTTAGCAAAGTCCTGTGGCGATGGACAGAACAACTGAGCCACTTGTAGGATGGGCTACAGCATTTTATGTTCCTGTTCAGCCTCCAGATTCCGTGATTTCTGTGACACAGACCTCACAAGCTGTAGACTTTCACAAGAGGACGTAGAGAGGGGACCTCAGACGGATGGGACCCCCAGGAAGGGCTGTGCTGTGGGTGGGCTGAGACCTGCCATCTCCCCGTTCTGTTCCCCAGTACGGTGAGCTCCTCATGCTGGCTTCAGGCACTGGCCTGGCCCCCATGGTGCCCATCCTGCAGAGCATAACAGACAATGCAGAGGACGAGACCTTTGTCACCCTGGTCGGCTGCTTTAAGACCTTTGAGGGCATCTATCTGAAGACCTTCCTCCAGGAGCAGGCCCGTTTCTGGAATGTCCGAACCTTCTTTGTCCTCAGCCAGGTGAGCCCAGCGTGCTGACTTCCTTCCCTGGTTGAGACTATGCCGGCCCCTTGCACCCATCCTGAGGATCTGCTGTGGCCTCCCTGCCCCAGGGGCCACAGTAGGAATCCCTGCTGCCAGTGGGAACTGCCACCCTGTGCCCGCAAGGAAGGCAGGTCCGGTTCCATTTGGTGTGTATGGATGCAGGAACTGACGCTCGAGAGGTGAAGGTGCTGGCCTGTCCGTGCTGCTGGCTGGGGTGAAGCCAGGATTGGAGCTCCCCACCATGCTTTACTGCCTGCCAGTTCCCCCCTGGCCTCACCAGGTATACAGGCTGGGGGCCTGCGTGTGAAGTCAGTGGGCCAGGCCGCAGATGTCCCCAAGGCCGGCATAAGCTCCTTGGGGGCAGTGATCATGTGTCTGGATCACCAAGCACTCCTCGGTGCTTGGCAGGGTGCCAGGCACAGAGTAGACACGCACGCCATCAGTGATTGGTGAGCAAGCGGATCTGGGGTCACCGCATTTATCCGGGCCCCTCCCCCAGCACTTTGTCCCTGCACTGAAGGAAAGCTGCTTCCATACTCTCCAGGCTGCAGGTACTTGAACTAGAAGCAACCCTGCCCCTCGGACTCCTCCTCCCTGCATGCACTCCGGCCACCCTGTCCGCTCCCTCCCCTCTTCCACAGTCAGGGCCCATCTCGTTCCTTATGCCAAGCCAGGCCCTGAGCTGCCTTCCCCTTGGTCTGCAGCTTTATTTCTCTTCCGTGCGCCCCCAGGGCTGGGCTCCCTGCTGGGGCCTCCCCTCCGGTCTGTGTTGCTCAGGGTCGGCCTCACTGCCCAGTACTTTGAGCACCCTTCTCATCAGTTTCCTCCTTGAGGCAGCTTTAGAGTGTCCCTAAAGACTGGCGTGATCTCCCCCATCATGACTGGGTGGGGGGTGTCAGGAAACTGGGTTTCCCTCCCCAGTACCAGGGGTCTGGGACCCTCAGTGACCAGGTTCTGTGGGCCTCTGATGGGACAGGAGGCTCAGTGGCGTGACCATGAGGAGGGCCATGCTAGGTGAGCATCTGCAGCAGCAGGAAGTGCCGAAGGCCGGGGTACGAGGCAAAGGCTAGTGTGCAGCCCAACTCTTGTGTGCCCGGGGCGGCCCTGTCAGCTCCGCTCCAGGGCCAGCTCAAGGAAGGTGGGAAGAATGGCAGAATCACCCAGCCGTTGACCAGCCTTCCTGTTCCCCGACCGCATGCCAGGTGCCCGGGATAGGGAAATGAAGAGGACCTGCCGCCTGCCCTCCAGGCACTCGCCTTTCTGTGGGGAGACAGCCACAGGGGTGGCTTCACTGAGCACTTTCTCCGTGCCTGGCACTGTTCTAGGCACTCTGTGTGCTAAATCATTTAATCCCACCACAGTCTTAGGTGGCTTGTCCTGCCATCATGCCCGTTTTATAGAGATGGCACAGAGAGATTAAGAACCTTGACTAAGTTGGTGGAGAGTTAGGTGTGAACCCCGGTGGTCCTGCTCCAGACGCCCTGCTTTCACTGCCTGTTGGTATAAGACAGCACAGGGAGAGGTGATACACGGAGGGTGCTGAGGATGCCGGCGGCAAGCAGGGAGGGCTTCACAGAGGAGCTGGCATTGAGCCTGGGCTTGAGGGCAGAGTTAAAGCTGACCAGCAATAAAGGGCCCTCAGCCCTGGCTCAGGGCTTTGATGATGCCAGTGGCCTGGGACTGGGCAGGTGAGTGGGCTGGCTGTCAAAGGCAGGGGCAGGTGAGGGGCCATGGACTGGGAGGTGCCTCCTTGACCTAGGATGCTCCCTGGCCTTCCCCGGGCTGCAGCCACAGCGGCCCCACAGATCTCCCCCTCCAGCCACTCCCTGCCAGTTGGCCCTTCATCTTGCAGCCAAAAGGGCAACACTGACCCCCCCCACCACCCTGCTTCCAGCCCTTCCCTGGCTCCGCACCGCTCTCAGGATGACGGCCCAGCCCGCACGGCTGCACCAACATACGTGGGCTCGTCTCCCGGCCCCCCCTCCCGGCGTGTCCCAGCACCTCTGGTCTGCTGGTCACGCTATAAGGGCACCATGCTCTTCTGGCTGCCAGGCCTGCGTGTGCTGGGGCTGTTCCCCCTTCCAGGAGCACTTTTCCCCACTTGCTCACCGAACACCTACCCACCCCTCACATCTCTCTGCTGGGGTGGGACTCTATCCCGGCAACTTCTCCAGAGCCCCCAGACTGGCATAGGTGTTTCTGCTGTCATAGCCGGGACTCTCCTCCTTGACAGCATCTACCCTGCGGCGCCATCCCTAATTAGGGGTCCCCCACCCCCCCTGGGCAGCAACCAGACCCACCGCATTTCTGGGTGTGCAGTTGGGGGAGGGGGGCTATGCCAACCCGAACTAGCCTGTGGGAACTGGGAGGGGAGGCCGCTGGCCCGCAAGGACCCTTTGGGTGGGTCAGAGCATGGAGGAGGCGTGGGAAGATCCAGATCATCAGAGCGGACCCCCCGTGAGCACTGTAATGGTGTCTTTAGAGGGCCCCTGGCGTCAGATGAGCTCTGCAGCGCGGGCCTCCGAGGCGCTGTGAGTGTGCCCGAGGGGAGGCCTACACCTGTCACAGTGGCTCACAGAAGTCAGGGCCACTCACCTGGGACATGGTGGCAGAGTTTAGACTCCAGCCCCCTCTCTCCTTTGCATCTCTCTGCTTAGCCCCAGAAGCTAAAAGCTCGCCTTCATAGGGTCTGCAGAGGGGATGGTCCTGTTCTGTTTTTGTTTGTTTAGATGCTGGTTGCATGGTGTCTTGTCTCCGTTAGAAATCTCCAGACTACATATACTTACTGATTTGTGTGCTGTTTCTATACATATTGTACTTCAGTGGAACGTTCACTTAAAAAAGAGACGTTCCGCCAAGTAAGCTGGAGGTGGAGCTTTTCTTTTGTAATCCCGAAGATGAAAGCCACCAGCGAAGGCTAGAAGAGCAGAAAGAGAGACGCCTGGGTCACTCGGGCACCGTGAACCCTGGAATCCTACCTCCAGCCTTTTTATGTGAGAAATAGCGCGGCCCCCTCGGTTAAGGCACTGCTGCCTCGGGTCCCCGACACACGAGCAGCCGCCACATGCCAGTGCCTAGCACCGTGCCGGGCACAGAGTGGCCCTCAGTCAGTACTTGTTCCGTCAGTAAGGGCATGAACACATGTTACGCTCCCAGGGTGATGGTGGCGGGCAGCCTTACAAAGGTGCTGGGAGACCCCCCCAGTCTTGGGGAGAAAACATCTCCCTGGAGAGACGGGGGCAGTGGCCCCCGAGAGGCAGCGAGGATTGGTGGGGCCTGCCTCCCTGCGCGCCCTGGGATGCACCCCCTCCTCGCTGTGCCTTCCCTGTTGTGGGAGGATACACATCCCCCCGCCCCTGGGCTTGTTATGAGGGTAATCAGAGCCCCGGTGCCAAGAAGTCCCTGGCCTGTGGTAGGGCTAGCTGAAGGTTGCCTTCCCACCCCTCTGCCTCAGTTTCCTCATTCGACAGTGATCTGCGTGAACTCTGAAGACTTCCCAGTAGTAACCCACATGATTTCTCATTGTCTCAGGAGAACTCCCTGGAGAAGCTTCCCTGGAGTTACCGGGAGAAGACCCGCTTTGGCCGCTTGGCCCAGGGCCTGATTGAAGAGCTGGTTGGCTCCTGTCGCAGAAAGCCATTTGCATTGGTCTGTGGCTCAGCCGAGTTTACCAAGGACATGGCCAGGTGCCTGCTATGCGCAGGCCTGGCCAAGGACTCCTACTTCCTCTTCTAGCCCTGGCCTCCCTTCCAAAGCCCAGGCCCGGGTCCTGCCACTGGAACACTGGAAGAAGCACAGACTGGAGTCAGAAGACATGGAGTGCAGGCCTGGCCCCACCGCTCACTGGCTGGGTGACCTTAGGTGAATGTCTTTACCTCTGTGCACCTGCAGTTCTCCCCTACCTCACGAGGTTGCCACCTCCCTC